TTCCATAGGAGTAAAAAATGTAAAATTCAAAACTTTTGGATTTTTACTGGAAAATTGTGTTTCGGAGCTAAACAGTGCAGGCTTAAGAGTTGCGTTGGCGTTGAGAGGCGGCGCATTAGCTGGCGTGACTTGGAATTTCTTCTCTGATCTATCTGGGCGGCGGAAACTCGTGGAGCATGATAAATGATAATCGCTTTGGGCGAACAGATAATCATTTATAAAGCAAGCCTAAAGGATGTTACAGTGATAGTTATAAATAGATGTGCTTTTACATTGTGTCCCATGTCCACATGTATAACTGCTAACTGACTAAAAGTGATTATTATTATTATTATTATTATTAAGAAGGGGCGCATTACACTACACTGTTGACCCAAATTGTTTAGATATATATATACTGGTAGTAAGATTTCAATTCATCGTTTTATTGCGACAACGCTGTTTCGTGTGGTCAAAGAATGACCACACTCAGCAGGCAATATTCACTACCATTGATCATTATAGTCACTGCTCCTCCCAGAGTTGAGCGCTGTTCAAAATTTATTCTATTCAAGTTTAAGAAGTATATATATATATATATTTTTAGCGGCTGTCGTTATGTCAGTGAAGAAACACCGTGATCACAGGAAAAATGGTTAACCTGGTGGTTTCGCGGTGTACTGATCCCGGGCGCTAACGACCAGCCCCATGACCAGTCAATATCCGTTTAAATGACGCTTTTGTAAACAAACATGCGTTCACACCTTTCTTGATATCCAACTCATGTAGGCCTGCATGAGTTTACGTCAGACGAGCAAAACCTGCCACCAAGCCTCGTTTTGAAATTGTAAAGATGCGACGTTTGGCATCAATGAATTCCCAAGGTCGGCAGTACAGATGAAAAGAATATCCAACCTCGTTCCCAGGGAAAAAGCTGTGGAAACGAAGTTGAAGAATACCCAGGGACATAGAGTGCAGATTGGAAAGATTGTGCTTACAAACTCAGTCAGTCTACACTGTCTACAGTGAAAGGCGTTGTTATATGTTAGATACCTCGCTGCTAAATCTAGGGTCTATGTTTTCTTTGTTGGTTTATTTACACTAAACATTAGTAACCTAATTTTGGAGTCTCTTGTAAAATTTGTCATGGTGAGGATAATAAAAACACCGTATTCAACCTCCTACAGTCTTATAAAACTTGTCAGTCTTTGGATTCCCAAATATGGTTATCAATTCATGACAAAATGGTTAAAAACGTCTTTCCGGAAAGTTCATTTTCCTGTTAACACACTCTTTCCACTTAAAACACTTGCCAAATAATTTATCAATTCAACACACACCTTTGCTCATGATAATTATATTCATTTTTGGACAGTTATGTAATATATGTTGTATGATACCTATATACCTGTGGTCTTGTTTGTGCATCGCAAACGGCTGAAATGAACATGCATAATGCGGAATAGACATCGAAAAAGAAATTTATCAGTGGTTCTCAGTAGAAGGAAAAGCTTTCGTTCATGCCAACCAATGACCGCTATGACGTCCGCTGTTGTTTTTGAATACATGTAGATATGAAATTGGGTTATGAAACTTTGATCATTCACTCAGGTGAGATCCCAATCAAAAAGTTTTGGTGATTCCTGGCCTCCTTCATTGCTGTCGCCTCTGGAACGTTCTAACCTTTTTCTTTCAGTTTCTTAAACACTTCTCTCATTGTCATAAAGGCGTTTGTTCTTGGGCCATCGTAGCCGTTAATCTTGTCAATTTTGTATAAATAGTTTTGTCATATATAAATCTGTAACCGTCTCTTTGGTCACTTTTGAAAATGTATGTTGACTAGCAAACGAAACGTCAATTTTATATAAAAATGCAAAAGTTCACAATGCTTATGACCGGCTTGTCCGCGCTGTTTGTGTTCTATTTTTGATTAACCTCTCTCTCTTTTTATCTTACTTTATTTTATTTTCTTCCCCCCTGCCTTATTAGTTTTGTTTTCTATTGCTGCTTCTTCGTCTGTTGTTGTTGTTGTGCTTGTTATTATTATTATTGTTATTCAGTAGTGTTAGTAGTAGTAGCAGTATTTGTTGTTTTAGATTATTATTATTATTATTTTTATTACTATTATTATTTGTATTTGTAGCAGTAGTAACTCTTAGGCTCAACAATTACCCCGTCCGCTTGAAAACGGGTAGCAATCTAGGTAGAGGTGCTTTTACAGACATTTTTTTTTTACTTAGCACAAAAATCGTTACCCACGTGCGCTTTCGAAGAGATGTGGTTTAGACTGATAAAGCAAACCAACAACAGAAACGTTTACTATATGAATGGATGGCGGAGCGAAAGGGTACTTCAGTTTGAATCTCTCAACAAATCGTTGCCAAATTATCTGCTATCTGTGTTACAGATCACGCAGTTTGACTTGTTGATAAAGCTTTTAAGATGTTTTCAAAAGCAATCAGCTGAACGATAAACCAAATATACATTTACCTGGAGGCAACGATGGGTATCCTGATGTAAGTTGCAAACTTATTATGATCCTTTGACGTGCAGAAAATCGCTTAAAATAATAATGAATAATAATAAAAATATTAATAACTTTTCTTATTATTTCATACACTATTGTAAATGGCTGATGATGCACAGTTGTATCAGCATGACAGTTCCTTTGCTAAGCATTGTTTATATTTGTATAACTCGCCATTTCCATCACCTCGTTAAAAGGCCTTCATTTGATGTTTTTTAATATGTTTATTGAAATATCAAATCTGAAGAGTTTTGAAATCATGATCTGATATCGTGAAACATCTATGGATGAAAGACTTGAAAATGTTCTGGTCAGTTGATACTGTTGATCCGACCGATCCGACCTTTACATTTCACTTAATTGTGTAATAACTCCGAGTGCATGCACACGGTAGGCTCGTTACGGGCGTTTCACATCCCTTGTCTTGAAAACATGGTAAGATCGATAAATAAGCAGCTTAATTGAGCGTTGATAGACGACGAAGAGGTGTCTATCCCTTTGAATTCATATGGCGATAGTTTACACCCCTCGAATGCTTTAGGCGAAGAAAGCCATTTTTAAAACGCATCATGTTCCTCGCAGATTTCGGACCGACCGCATAGCAGTTTTTCGGTCAAGCGCAGTGGGCACTATGGCTTCAAAAAGAGCTTTCACAACAGCATCGCTTTGGCGGTAGCCTTTTCGTGGAAAGATTTTCTTTTAAAAAGCAGACTGTTTCACCACAAAGATTTGTGTTTCTTGTGCATGTCGTGAGCGCCGTTCAAGATCCAGACCGAAACTTAATATTCATTGAAATAATGAGTTCCTATTCATGTTAATGCGACACTTATCTAGATTCTTATCAGTATATTAAGCTAATTAAGAGTGTGGTGTAAATAGTATTTGGTTTCATGTACTCAAAGATTGGTTTAACACAGGTCAAGAGGGACGTGTGACTTTTTTGCCGACGAGCATTACTCAGGCATTTTAACATGATATACAGCTCTGCGAAGATCCGATGAGAAATTCAAAGAATGCGTTACTTAAAGAGCGCGTTTCCATCGCAAAATGCTTGAAAAAGGCCAAGTTTCGGATAAACAATGTCACCTCAGGAAGTGGAGCAATTTTTAGTCTGTCCCACAAATCCAGATGTGACGAGTAGCTCTTGCTATCTGATGAACGTCTTTGTTCTCATCACGAAATAAATGAAATGTTTCTTTGTCTTGAGCAGCTAACCTAATCAAAAGCTTTTCAATGGACTGTATGGATTTCGTCGGCATCTCTGTGCTTTCTTCAGCTCTGATAAGAAATAGTCAACAGCGTGGGAAAATTGCTTTGCCCTGTCAACAGCCATCAGCCTCTTCCATTCTTTAAGGGAATAGTGCAATAGTTGTAAAGTGTAGTTATTCTGGTCTCTGTGTTTTAAACAAACTTTAGGATTTTCACTTTCTAAATGCAAAGTTTTTCCTCGAGAAAGAACAAAATAAATTAAAAGAATCGCCTGACTTCGAAGCCGTCTTGACACACTCTCAACAGTGTGATTTTCCTGTTTTGTGATTTTTGATAAGCGGTAAAATTTAATTTAAGCGATTTGCGCTTACTTTGTGAAATAGTATGAATTGATGGATTAAAGGCGCAGGATTGCACCGATCTTGCGTTATCTTAAACAAATAAACATATCTGGGGGGTGCTGCCTATTTCCGTCAACTATCATACCAAACAAACAAACATTTAAAGGGTGTAAAGTGGTTATCTTAAGAGAGGGCCAGCGCCTGTTCTGAATGGGCATCAGTTAAATGGCTTTTCTGGCAGTCAAATCCCACAGTAATCAAATGTAATTTTGGAAGATCTGTATATTTACAATAAAAAGAGAAAAATACGTGTTACTTTTGAAAGTGGCCTTTGAAATTGTTTAAAAAAAGGAAATATATTCAAGAGATTTCAAACGAACAAGATCACCACATTTCTGATTGGTGGTTTAAGCTTTCGTCAAATAAGGAAAGACTTATCTTGGCTCTCACCCACGCTTACCACAGAGCTTTCCTGCAGAAGTAAAAGTTCGCAAATTCAAAGCAGAAAAGCAGGTTGAGTGGTAATAGACAAGGAAATCATGCTTTTTAGAGGAGTGATATTAAGGGCCGTAAACGAAACCACAGGTAAAGCGAGCAAAAACGATAACGTGCCCAAATCTTAACCAAATGGAGCGTCGATGTCGACTTTTGCCAGACAACGTGTTGACAATAAAATCGAGTAAACGGTTCATTTTCTTGACCGATAGCCTTCCTGAATTCAAATCAGTTCCGTATGTGATGTGTTGAGTGTCAAGATGAGTGGCATTTGACGTTCTATTCTAGGCTAGGGTCTCGACCCAGTGCTTTGCCCCATTGAGAAATACCACGACTGTCATCAAAGTATTAATTGCTGTTTATTGCCTGTTTGCCAAAGAACTTAGCAGCTTGCGTGAACAGGCTACCACAAACGACTCAAGATTCTAAACAGTACACAACAACGCGTTATGGACTCTTCACTCTCAACGAAAGCTAATGCTTTCTCTATTGCCTCTCTCATATCATCCAGAGATGGTAAGACTGACGATGCCAACATACTGAAATTCATTTGAGTATTTTTGGTACATTTATCATCTGAGTCATCCTTTGTGAAATGTAGCAGCTAGAATTAGGGGCGAATTTGCGCATTCAGTGAGTGGGATTCAAATCACCCGCAGTAACTAGGTGATTTTTTCAGCAATATGTGACCACGTTGAATTGTATTTCTAAATTTAGACCCAAGTCTATCGCCGAAATTCAGAGGAAGTGCTTCGGATAGCGACTGTGTGGAACAACCACCAGCCAAGAAAATGAAGTCCATGTCATCGACCGACGTTGCCACCGATGACGAAGACAACGAAGTGCTCGAGAAGCCGCCTAAGGATGACTTAAGAAACATAACAGTGGAACTAGAAGGGAAAGAGTTGTGGGAACGTTTCAGTGAATTGGGAACTGAAATGATCATTACCAAAGCGGGAAGGTGAAACAGTAGTTTACTTATACTGGAATGCTGCTGACACTCTAAGAGGAAAAATCGTTGCATTTAACACCGTGCCATCAACTAATATCCAAGCGCTAACCACTAATAAAACGGTCCCGGAAATCAAAGTTGTTAAAAAGATAAGAAACTGTTTTATAAACAGTTTCTTTACTTATGCATAAACAGAAACAACATTCGTGTAAATTGGCTCATTCGCGCAAATAAGCTACAGAGCGGAAAATTCTGATTTGTCACCCGATAACTGATGGGCGAAGACGGATTCTTGATGATTTCATTTGCCAGAAGCACGAAAATTTGCCCGCACGCATAACTAGGATGTTTTTAAGGTACGTTTTTCCCTAGAAGCATTCTTAATTTGACAGTTTCTTTTTCTAGACGTATGTTTCCCACTCTGCGAATTTCCGTGAATGGTGTCGATCCTAAAGCAAATTACATGGTCCTCATGGATATAGTACCTGTTGACGACAAACGCTACAGATACGCCTACCACCGTTCAACTTGGCTTGTAGCCGGTAAAGCCGATCCGCCAGCCCCTGTGAGACTGTATATGCATCCAGATTCACCTTTTACCGGCGAGCAGCTTCTAAAGCAGATTATATCATTCGAGAAAGTCAAACTGACCAACAACGAAGCCGATCGCAACGGCCATGTAAGTTGGTGCTAATAATGCCACTTGTACTTTTCAGGAAATCATCAGAGTTTGGATTCAGTTTTGCGCTCTCTCCCTCTGCCCCTTTCTAAGTTTTTCACCTTTAATACCTTCGTGAAAATCGCGTTTGCTTTCCTGTTAATAATCGCATTTACTTTCTCAGTAACTTCTCCTTATTTTTGTCCTTTCTTTATGAACTTCAAGCTTCTATCGAAGGCCAAAACACTGTTTTGATAACGTTTTGCTCGCCCCATGTGGAGAGCAGCTGAAAGCGTCAATTGTCATGCAACATAGTAAGAACACAGCAAAATTCACGCATTTGCTGATCTCAGTTTTATCCAGTTTTCCTTTATAAGATTTTGCAGCTAAGCAAAGGAGTTCTGATAAGGCATTTATTTCAGATCATCCAACAAGTCGAGGCTTGGTGAAAAAGCCGATATGCAAGTATAACGACTTCCTCTGCCGACAGTTGTACCATACTTCCCGCTAGTAACTGTTTGCCTGACTTAGGTCCTTCGTTCTTTTGAGTTCTCCTTTCTTTGATATTCCAGCTTATTCTAAACTCCATGCACAAGTATCAGCCAAGAGTGCACATAATTCGTAAACGTGACCACACAGCCTCTGTAATTAATCTCAAGTCAGAGGAGATGAAAACGTTCACCTTTTCGGAAACGAATTTCATTGGAGTAACTGCATACCAAAACCAATTGGTAAGTTTCCTTTGTTTCGAAGTCTTAAGTCCTCTACCTTTCAAATAAGCCATTTTTTCCTTCAACATTAAACCTTACTTTACACCTACCGATTTGTTTCCGCTCTTTTTTCGAAGCAAGTTAAACAGCTAACCTAACATAAGTTACTTTTACAAGACGTTTATACTCCAAGGTTTACCTTAATTGAATTAGAATTTAATTAGGACAAACACATGCAATTCTAGAGATACGTTTTTCTTGCAGGTTATGCTCCGAAACAAGTATAGAGGAATCGGTGCTTTAATTCAGAAAAAACTAAATCGCTTTTATTGAGCAAGAACGATTGGTCTGATTATGTTATCCTTGCAGTCGTACATAAAAAGGAGCATTCATGTATTTATTTTGCAGAAAACAAATAGGACTATAATTTAAACTAGCCAACAGTGTTGGATACTGATCGGATGTAGGTATTAAAAAACTCAGATGTTCTTCAGGCGGATACGAAACGCGATCTCAATATCCCTGAAATCGTCCTTAGGCTCCATGACTCCCCGTTTAACAATTGATACAGTTCTGTGTGTTTTCCGTTTTTGTAGATCACACGATTAAAAATAGACAGCAATCCATTTGCGAAAGGTTTCCGGGACTCATCACGTCTCATTCCAGTAGAAAGGTGTGTGCATTTTGCTTACTACTCGAGCCCGGGTTTCTACTTTGAAAGCAAATTTGAAATAGTAAGCTGCCAAGCATGTTAAGCCGGCATTTTTATAACAGGTAGACAACAGACAAAGAGAAAAAAAAAAAGGAAAAGAAAAGAAAATGAAGAAAAAAGAAACGAGACAGTTACCCGAATTCGTGCTTCTCTGAAGATTTCAGAGACACCAAATTCATTTTACGACTGGCTGAATGTGTTGATTAAATCTGATAATGGCCAGTCATTGTTTTTCCATATATTTCGTAAAGGGTTTCTAAGATCAAGGGAAAACTGTCCAAGGGATCAATGGATACTCTTCGGTGTAATAATCAAGGCATAACCGGTACGCCACTTCCATCAAATCTAGTATAATAGTAATTCTGCAAAAATTAGGCCACTTTCCTAGTCTTTTTTCTTTCATTAAAAAATTTCGTTATCAGTATTTTCGAAAACGCAAACGAAGGAGGGAACCAACAAGCCTTTTATTTTTTGATGTTTCACTAATTCACAAGGTTTCACTGGGTTTTGCCAATGCCGGAGCACATCGCCATGCCTTTTTTCGTCCACCAATTAGCATCAGCTGTTCACCGGATTTTTCTGGCGCTGGAATTTTAAACTGATGTAGTTATAATGCTGGGTTCATTTTCCTTTAGGGATTGTCTTCAAGACGGCCATTCACAGACGATAGTTCCCGATCCATTATTTTCCTCTGTTCCTTTTCCGCTTTTACCACAACTAGGGGTAAACAGCAGATACCATTTACCCAAGATTGGCTGTAGACCTCAAGACAAAGCGTCTTTCTTTCAATCAGGTAAGTATCAAGTTTGGACACTTAAAAGTTTAGGAAGGTGGTCTAATATTTGCGAGTTCACTTGCATAAACAACCCCTTTATCTCTGGTCAAAAAGTGCATTGTATTGCTTTTTTGTCACCTTTGAGGAATAAAAAAAAAGAAGCGTATGGGTGGCGTCAAGCGTTATCTTGTAGTAAATAGATGATCTTTTCTTTCACCGCAATCTCCTTATATTATGTCGGGTCTCGTAAGTCGGTCTACTTTAAGCCATAAGCGATGTGTGGTAGAACGATTCAATCAGTAATCCAGCAATTCCGTACCCTGCATCACCTATCTCGATTGTCCAAGCTACTTGCGCTGTAAATATCGACGAGTACCAGAATTTTGCAGCGCCTGTCGATCTCAAAGGACATGTCCCCCTGTATTTCCAAATTGTTGTTGTTGTTGTTTTTGTTGGTGGTGGTAGTGGTGTTGGTGGTGCATGACCTAAACTTCGTGAGAGTCTGTTTTTAACATCAAATTTTCTTTAACGAAGTGATGGAAGATACTCTAATGGTGCTTGACTGTCAAATGGAATAGGTCAACTGATTCTCGCGCTTCCTTGAAATAGAGTTTACAAGAGTTACTTTTTGGAGAAAATTATCACATGCGTGTATTAAGTGATGATTTTTAATGATAATATTAAATCCTTGAGCATGGGAATACTAAGATAAGAATTATTAGAGGGACAGTGATATTTTTTTTCCAGTTTCCCTTCAGGGTCAAATTAAATGAAAATAATCGTAGCGAAGGTGTTTTAATATAATCATGCCGTTTTCTGTCTTAAAATGATTCGGTTAATAAAAACCATCCTGAGAGAGTCAGAGCGACTCTTAGAGACGCGTCTTAAATAATCTAACATTGGTTCTTAAAATTCAGTTGGTTCTCATCCGATATACATGTATGTAACTGTTGACGTACAAGCAGTCCGCCTACATGTATAGAAAAGATTTGAATCAGAACCTGAATTGGTCGAGGTGAAATACTCAGAGGCACCCGAAGGAATCAAAACCAGCTAAAAGAAGTCAGGCCACATTTCACGAGTATACTTGATTGTCGAGGATGACTGATCGAACTGTTTTCGATGATCACTTTACTAGAGAGTTTAGACGACTAAGTAGCATACAACCGTCCTGAAGAGGTAGTCTCGTTTGAATAGCAACCTTTAGACCCAAGAGATAAAGGCATCTTCGTCTCTGCATAATTGGATACTGACTTAAAACACCTACAACGACGACGTCAGTGAAAAAGCAATGAACTCTCCGCCTTCTTTCGCAGTTTGTTGAGATTTATTTAACTTAAATTGCGGCGATGTACATCGCATTCAGATATAAAAACGAAAATATGTCTTTCAGTTTTTGCGAATTCAGAGAAGCCTTGAATAAGAATTTGTGTAGAGGACAGCAACGAAGTGTACCGGAAAGTGTGATGCACGTTGGTGCGGCCGATTTGTTGTTTTGCTCGCTAAATTATAGTTTTTCTTGACTCTAGAAGCAAACCAACGACTATTTAAACGCAAAACGAAACAAGTGTTGCAATCTACTGAGAAAAGCACTGTCCTGCGCTGGCGAAAAATCACCTTCACTTCATCTATCGTTGTTATCAAAGTTTTTCACTCCGCAAAACCCCTTGCTCATAGAATCCGTATTTTCATCATTATTGCCGTCAAATGTAGGCTTAAAGGGTCTGTGTCACGATACTTTTCAAAATTCAAACAGTTAGAACGGCTACAAAACTGACTGGAACATAGACTGAATAACTGCTCAAAACTTAAGAAAAGATTATATGACACAGCAAATACAAAAGTAGGCACCGATGGATAAACTTGAGGAGGATTGAAACGGATTGCAATTGTGGCGTTTAAAAACTTGTTGGCCTAACACATTTTCATAATTCATTTTTGTTGTTTGTAACGTTTGATACATGCTTGGGACACATTGTTGGACACAAAGCTCTAATATCGTTCTTCATAGTTAGTTTCTCAAGTTCAATAGCGAATAAAGATGCGTAAATGGAAATTTTTAACAAAATAAACTAGGAGAACCAGATAACTCAACTCCGTCACAGGTGGTCAAGAAATCAAAGTTCCCTTATATGGTAAAAGGAGTAGGTTTTAAGCCGTTATTTTTTGTCGCTTTTGCTCGTGGTCAGTACTACAATATTTGTCAGCGGGGGCATTGTAATTCAAAGACAAATTATCCACGTAAAGGAGAACCGATACAAAAACCTAATGTTGTTGTCTGGCACAAAACCAGTCAGCCCCCTTTTCTCGGTTTCTTTCTTAAGGCATAATTGTCTTAACCTGTGTGGGCACACAAACTTAGTGGTTTCCTCTACTTGTTCGCTATACGTTTAGCAAACTGATATTTGTTTCTATTTTTGCTCAGGTTGTCTTCCGCCTCCGTCACCCACAATTCCAAGATTGCCTTTCACAGGAGTCCTAACTGCCTATCGCCACCAACAGCATCTGCCCAACGTACTTTCGCCAACGTTTGCTTCGCCGAAACCCGTGGGGACGCTAGAGACCCCGCATTTCCCGCCCTACAGCGTCCACGGAGAATACCCTAATCCCACATTACCGTTCTTTTAAGAGGTTTAGTCGCACATTTTTTTACACACTTTGAACACTTTTCTTTGTATATAAGCTGAGCTGTTTGTTCAGACTCCCCCTGGCTAGTCGTGCCAATCATGTTGACGACTACTGTGGGGTTGCATGCAAGTTTTAAAAATCGGTGAACTTCCTCATAATCATGGACTTTCCTCTGGATGTAAAATTTGACATCAGCTAAAATGTTTTGTATTCTCAATGAGTCACTTCTTAAAACCTATCGTACGTGGAGCTGTTTCATTAGCTCGTGCTGCTACTGAAGACTTTTACTATCTTATGGGTAAAGCGGTAGGTCTTATAGACCACTCCTATCAAAGGACATTCTCAAAAGAGCTTTTAAAATTTCTATTAGAATGTTACAAAGTCCATTTTTGCTCGTTTTTTAATGACTAGAATTTTTATTACGACGTATTTAAGCTTAGCTAAACATTTTTAAAAGGTAGTACATGTCCTTAATAGTTCTAGAAAAACTTGAGTTTTTGATCTGTGTATAATAATGGATTGATGAGTTAATATTTTATTAAGTATTTATTGCTTTTGATTGTTTGTAACTAGCAGAATAAAACGAAACTAAGGAAGAACAGAACAATTGTTGTAAATAAAGAGCAATGAATAAAGATAGTGGTTAGTAAAGAATTATTCTAATGGAATGTGAAGTTTTGGCTAATTACAACTTAGAATGAGCGTTCACTTAAAAACATCTAGGAACGAACAACAATAACCTTCAATTACTATCATGACTATGATTATTTACACTATTGCAAAAGATGCGTAGAATGCAAACGAAAAGAAATAGAAATAATGATAATTATGATATTAACAGATCATCAAGTGACATTATTCTTACATGAGCGAAACAGTCTAGATTTGGGCTCTTATTCTTGGGTTAAAAGGAGATTGAAGAAACATTGATTGCTCCAGAAAAAACGACCTAAATAAGCTCGGGCTGGCTAGAAAACAACAAGAACAACATGAAAGAAACACAAATGAGTCTTTATTTATTTATTTGTTTATTTATTACGTCTGGGAAGGGTGTTCACTTTGAGCCAAACAGAGATCTCTGTCTTTTATTTCTGGCTTACTGCGCATGTTAGATGCCCGACCAGGATTTTGTGTCAAGGTCAAACCTTAAATGGTCTTCCACTAGGACAAAAGAAAGGGTACTGTCAGCACCTTTAAAGCAGCGAAATTTTATATCGGCGTCGTGTAGAATTTACAGTCATGAAATATTCCCTACGTTCATCTCTGCAGTAAAGAGACAATCCATGGCGGCAACCCGTTACCCACGCTCTCTTAACGCCCTGACAGATAATCCCTTTAATTAATCTGGTAAAATGATCTTAACATAAGCTGTGAACAGAAGCCAAGAGATAGACCGATAACCCCATGTCATTTGCATGGCAGCAATTGATGATGTTGCCGAAGGATTGAAACGGCTGAGATGTACTGATAAGAAGGCATATCAAGACCGGCTTATATATTATGAACAGATGGTCGGGTGTGAGATTTCCTCGCCTGGTCTTTGGTCATAGTAAAAAAAAAGGAAAGAAAGAAAGTACACATCATCGTCAGTTCTTTATTTATACCTTTCCTAATTAACCATGGGCTATCTAAATCATTCTAAGCGTAGAACTGGAATGTTTCACTTTATGGAGACGACTATCTAATTTGGCGTACATTAAATACTACTGATTTACTTAGATATTTATTTATTTGTTTATTTATACATTCATTTATCCATGTGTTATTTCATTTATAACATTAATTTCTATCCTTTTCATTTGTATATGTTTTATTTATTTATTTTATTTCAGATTTCATGTAATTTATAATTACCAAGAAAAAAGCAACAGCTGATGGTAGTTTTCACAAAGCAAAAACACGTACTTTTGAAATATTCGCTAAAAATCTCTACCAAGTCCTCATAACACAAAAAGAAACTACAAACCTATTATTGTCAATATACCAATGTTAGTTATTAAGGTCATCCCTATTTATTTATTGAGTGTTTTTTGTTTTCTTTTGTTTTGTTAAGTTTTGTTTTTGTTTGTTTCCTTGTTTGTTTGCTTGTTTTTCCAACTAAATTTCGTCGATCCCAACTTTGCAACTGAGAGGAGTAAAATAGAGAAAACCTACTACCAAACGCCGTAGCATGGCCGGTAACTTACGCATGCCCACAGCGATATCATCCGGGCTCGGGCAGTGGCAGCCATACTACACAACATGAGTAAAGTATCTCAATTGATGCACACAGGGACCCCTTTGGGATTGGCACTAATTGTCAGTCCTTAAATAGGTGTCTGGCTTATACAAGGTCCTCCAAAACACCAAATCAAATCATAAATGGCTGAAAAGCGAAAGAGTCAAATATTAGGTGTCCTCTTTTAGTGTGAGGTGTTTTTTTTGTTCCAGAGAGTCAAAGAAAATAACAAAAAACGACAAAGATCAGCTCTATTAGCCCGTTATAGGGAGGTTTGTGCCTTAAAGGGCAAGCAAAATGCGGACCATAAAACGGCAAGGACCAACCTGAGGTGTCCGTTTTTGGGACTGGTCACTTCTTTATAGACACGCCTATTGAGTCGAATGTACCGTCAATTTTATTGTCATCCGCTCTGTGCAAAGTTGTGCTTTCAAAATTGTCAAGTCCACAGAAGCTTGCGGAAATCAACTTTAGGTCAACTGGATCTTAAATTGGTGTTACTAGAACTAGTCCTCTAAATTTTCCATGCAGTATCATCGAGGTGGACGATTAAACCAGTTCCGAATATTTTGTTTTCTCTTCTTACGTTCTTCTTGTCTCACTTGTGACAATTTGATAACTATCGTAAACGTATTCGGTTAAGCCTTTAGAGTGACCAGCATGAATTTCTCCTTGTAATAATGTGCTTTGTAAAGCATAGTGGTTATGAGAATTGAGGACATGATTACAGGCAATGATTGAATAAATCTAAATGATTCTTAAACAACTTCTCGACCTTCTCCCCACAACGTCTATAGTAAATGTATTGGAACAACACATGAAAATTCATGAATTTAGATATTAGGGACCCTGGCCTGAGTTTAGTTGATAAACAATTTAGAGCGAAAACAAAACCTTGCCGGTCCAATTTTTGTTGGAGTTTGCTCATTTGATATAAAACATCTCGTGTTAACTTGGAATTCGAGACGTGAGGAAAACTTACTAATAAGATAAGCCGATTTCTCAAGTGGTCGCCAATCTATAATTATCTTCTTAACAGCGTTACCTCGAAAACGAACCTTTTTCGGTTGAGGAAAACAAATTTCTGCAGTACGGGGTTGGGGAGAACTTTCTTGAAGATTCAATGGGCAAACTTTATCGCAGAAATTTGTCCAGGGTTGACTCCCAGAGAATGGTGCTTTAAGGGTAAAGCTCCCAAATACTTTGTTTATAATACATTCTTAATAACACATATTCAATTCAAAAAGGACAGACGGCAAATTGTTGTTACTCGAAATACATGTATCTATAAGTCGTAACTGTGCATCAGTATGTGGTTTCGGGTCCATCAAATCGTGTTACAGTTGTAGAACATTTGAGGAGGGACCAGCCACAATATGCGCACAGTTACAGACAAGATATAGTCGATATACGGGTAGGAAAACAGCCCAAAGAAACTGTAATGTAACACTGGAGGATTCACAAACGTTTTGTCAATCTCAGTTGTTGATGACTAAAAGTTGTACTGGAGGAAGAATAGAACTCCCGCCCTCTATTGACCGTTTCTTTTTTTTTCTTTCTGTGCCGGCCCAGAATTAAAGTAAAGTATCTGGAGAATCGCGACATATTGCCTCAGGAAAGTATTTCAAAAATGTCGCCACCCAACCTCTTATCAACCAAACTTTGATAAAGTTATTTCATTTAAATGGATTGTTCTGGGATTAACACATTTTAATCCCAAAAGCTGTTTCTTTTCTGTGAAAAATACGCTCATTGCTGTTTATTACCGTCGGTTACTGTAAATTCTGAACCTTTCAACAGCGTTCCACAGCAGTTTGTGACCAGCAGAAATTATCCTGATCGTTTGAAAATTGTTAATTATCAATATTGACGTGGTGATTCCATAATAGTAGAGAACGATAACATTCTTAATTTGTATAATGTTTATTTATTATTTTTTATCGTTTTTATGTGACCAGTAAACTGCGTGTACAAAACCATTATCGTTTGAAAAGCAAATGTGTGGTTGCGTGTATACCTTTTTCTTCTTTCATTCCTTCCTAGAGGGTTGTGGAAACATCGGGCTGGGATACCTTAAAAGGTTATAAAAAAAATCTGTTGTGTCTTTTTTCTGAACTCAGTGACATGGCATTTGATTCAAATGTGAATCGGAAATACTATTGCAATTTATCAGTTTGTCGATTATCTCTAACTCCAGATGTCGGTAAACAAACTAGGTATCATGTTGTCAACACATCTGAATGTGCTTCTTTTTGTTCTTTTCAGTACCTTAAAGCTTACAAGGTGATAAGTAAGACCTGATCAGTAAGCTGTGAGCACAGTGGTTATTCAACTGCACCAGACAAGCAGTGAGCTTAACAAACGACCTACGGTGGGACTTAGTGAAGATAAGACACTTTATTTATAAGCTCTAGATATAAACGGAGGGTGCTGATAAACTCCTATAGCTTTGTGTATTGGTCTTAAATGGCATTATTCGCTCTCATTTGGCGTCAACACAGCATCGGATATAGCCATGGGCATGCAACAACGAGTGGCGCATTTCAGGTTTGTCATCGGTTTTTTGCCTGTTATCTATGTAAAGCTATTTATTGCCATATGAATGACTAAAAGAACAACACTGTTAAATACAAAAAGAAATGGCCAAGCAATATTAACTCTTTTCTATACAGAAAAAAATGTAAGCACTCTCCATGCAATTTATGACTATCGAGTACATTTCATTTGTCGATGAGTTTTAAGCGGAAAAACAATCCTTTTTGTTCGGTGACCTATTTTGTTAATTCGTAATAAGTCTCACGAGATATAATCCATGATTGCAGACGATTTCTTTGTCGGCCTGCTTTTCTACTAACGGAAATTACATAAGGTGTTAAGGTAATTCAACTAAAGCCTTAAAAACATGTCAAGAAAGCATAATCCACCTGACTGAGAATAGCGCAGCCTGAGTGAAATGACCATGAACTTGTCTTTTGGCGGCAAAATCTAAGTAACAGGAAATATCAGAAAAGTTGATTTAAGTCCAAGGTATTTTTTTTTCAACTAGGTTTTTTCTCAAAAGCAAGCAAACAAACTTCCTTACAAGCAAGCAAAACAACAAGATGTTTCTTCAAAGCGATAGTGTTGAAACTCTACACAGTGTTGTCAATGATGTATTTCCAAAACAATCCTTGCTCTTCAAACGCAATTTGCAAAGGACCAAAGAATCCACGCCTAGTGACTCTCGCAAAGTTATATCTTGTGCTTTGTTGGCTTCTCCAAAACGATAAGGTCATAGGGGTGATAACAAAGCATGATAAACGAATTCTAGTGTCAAATTGTCTAGTCCGGCATCTTGAAATATAGTAGGCATTTCAGTTGTCATCCTTTGGATGCACATGTAAGGCCGTCCGTGCAAATACGGTCTATCTATCTAGGACTACCTTCAAAAAAGGCGTTACTACCACCCAGAAATCACTGTTCGCTCTTACACTCTCGCGATAAGTGGGAAACCGCGTTTCATTTCACAAGCTTTATAGCCTAGAATTTTGATTGGCTTAGAGAAAGGAATTAGCCATGATCCAATCAACGGTTTTATCGGAGATTGTTATATAACTTGTTTAGAGACTTCAGTTAGTAAGATGAATGGTGTCGAAATCAGCATATAGACTTATTATAAATAGTATTATCATGGCAGAGTTCACAACACAGCAAAATCTCTCTTCTAAAGCAACTGCCTTCTCGATTGAGTCATTGATGGCTTCGGATGAAAGCGGTACAGTTATAAATTAGGAGATGAAGTCCATTCACTTACTTACTTCTTTTACTGGCAAGCTTTTAGAGCATAAGGCCAAATTGTACACTACAGCAAGAAAGATGCGTTAAAAGGTCTGTTAGAGTCCAACACCATATCGGGACGACTCTAAATGAGATACTCGATTTAATGCATGTGAATTGTCTCTTCGAATGAGCTGGTTGTCTTCAAAATGGCGGTTGTATTTGCACTGGGTCAGTCACGTTTTTCACATTGGCGGTTCCGTTCAAACATTCTTCAGTTAGGCTTTGGCGAAAAAACACATTCACGAAGTGTTTTTGTAATGTAACTAATACATACTTCTCGTACTAATTGGACTGTTTTGATGAAATTAACTTTTAAAACCTACAATGTTATTTTTAGCAGCAAGCAAGCTAAAGAGGAAGGCGCCTTACACTAGTGAGAATGCCACTGTGGTTTCTGAAAATGGAAAGCGACATAAACTTTGTGCAGCAAGCAGTACAGATGACAAGTGTATGGAGTCGTCAGTTTCTTCATCAGAAGTCGCTGAGGACTTATCAAGTGTAACAGCAACTCTAGAGAGTCGAGATCTTTGGGATCGCTTCAATGAACTGGGCACTGAGATGATCATAACAAAGTCTGGCAGGTGAGGGTTATGTCAACACCTACTGTAGAAATGTTTAAAGTCTAAAGGTTTTTGTCTGAAATCCAGTCACATCCTTTATTGACTAATGCAAGAGGCTTCAAGCAAACGACTTTCAAGGAGGACATCACTAGGACAGCTGGCTGCTACGAACGTCTAAAGCAGGGTGGAAATGTTTACATTCTCTTGAGGCCCAATCGACAAACCTTCGCGATGGACAGGCATCGCAAAGATCGTTTTCATTCTTCCAAATATGTGGAAAAAGTAAACAGTCCAAGCCTAACTTCACAATCGGCCATATGAAACATAATGTATTGTTAATGGGTCCGTTGTTTTAAGTGTCGTCCACCGCAGCTACTTAGACACTTTACACCATGTTATATTTATTGGCTTATTGACAGCTATAAGGGAAAGTTCTGAAAGCCGACTCACGAAAAATATAGCCAGTAGTAGTAGGAACTTCCTGGCCTTAAAATGCTATTGTAAGATTGTGGAAGTAGTTCTTACAACTTCGTCTGCATATATTTTTTGGGAGGGGAAGCTAACAAACAACTCTATTGTTGCAAACAACTCTATTGTTTACTCCATATTTCGAAATAGGAGACTCTTATTCGAAAAACAAATGGAAAATGTAAGGGTGGGCTTGTACACATTTAGACATTCGCCGTTCTGCATTCATATAATTATTATATGTTTGCTTTTTCATGACTGTCTTATTCTTTACCTTCGACCTCGACTTAAGATATTTAAGGCTTAAGTATGTATATTCTGGACAGTAAATTTTTCAGTCTCCTTCGATTTCCACCCCATTTTCCAAGATCGCCATTGCTGATGAGTGCTTGACATGTATATGGAGTTTTAAGGCATAACCAAACCAAGGGAGAATATTTTATAGTTTTTGATTAGTACAATAATATTTTTTTTTTGATCCAGTTGCCGAGCGTTTTATGTTCAGGTTACTTGTCTTTTGGGGACTGACATACTTCTCGCCGTCATTGTTTTCGACAAACGACAAAGGATTAGAACTCCCACTACTATCCTTAAAACGAAAGAATACAATACTAAGGCTGAAAGTTCAAACAATTACAACAACAAGAATCTAACGGTGGGGAGACGACTGAATAATGTTGATAAAATGAACATGGCCATGTTATATTTAGTGGATGGATAACATCTTTCTAAATTGCGGCCATGCACTGCCTTTTAGAAGAACTGGTTAAGAAGCATGCTACCTTGAATTAATTTCACTGCATTTCGTTAGGTTATTATAAATAGTCTCCACTTTGCAAATATAATGAATCGAAAAGGATTTATTAGTCATAACTACCCGCTGGAAATCATCGGTAAAAAAAATCGTCAAATGGAACAACTTTTTGTTGGTACAAGAAGTATTATTAAACAACATACCAGCTTGTTTCGAAGCTATATCCTTACAGAGCCTTGACCTTTTCTGAGGGAAAGCTAGCACTCTTCAAAATCCACCTTTTTTTCAAACAATTCAATTAAAAGACTTAAGACCAGTTGCAATTCTCTCTTATTGCAAGACATCTCTTAGGGAAAACACTTGCACCATTATCAAGTTCTTATTCTGAACATTAGTTTTCCCCTAAAATGCACATGAAAAAAAGTGTCTATTTTGCTGTTGTTTATGAATGCACACCCCAATTTGCTGCTCCATTAGAACAGAAATACATTGAGCAAAAGTTGGTGTTAAAAGGCATAGAGAAACAAGTGGAACTGTTTTCTAGGATTTTTGCTGTCTCTGTTTGCAGCGTTTTTAACCCACTGCATGACCAGAAGAGTGTGAGAACATATTCTAAAAATTCTCTTCAGTAATTCGTTTTTTTTCGCACATTTGATACGATAAACATGTAAATTGGTTAACCTTATGGACATCTGAAACAAGTTCAACTCGAGAAAAAGAAATACCTAACAACAGAAAGCAATATTGTCTGAGCTTGCAACCTTGCTCAACTCTGTTCTTCAACAGCCGGAATCTCAATTGTAAATTTTTACTCAAGCAGAAGGTATGGATGATAATACCTTAATCAAAATTAGGATAATTAATTAATTTGTTTATTTTAACTGTCTTTCTCTCAAAGGAGGATGTTCCCGACCCTAAAGGTGTCATTGCATGGCGTCGATCCTAAAGCCAATTACATGATCCTAATGGATACTGTGCCTGTTGATGATAAACGCTACAGATACGCCTATCATCGTTCGACTTGGCTTGTAGCGGGCAAGGCCGATCCTCCAGCCCCTGTGAGACTTTATATGCATCCAGAATCACCTTTTTCCGGGGAACAGTTATTAAAGCAAATTATTTCGTTTGAGAAAGTCAAACTGACTAACAACGTGCTGGATCAGAGTGGGCATGTAAGTGGACTTGAAAGTGGTGCATCTATTAAAGGAGCTGTGTCACGAGATTTATCAAAATTCAGACACAGTAGGAACTGCCAGGAAATTGAGTGAAACAGGAAAATAGCCGCTCAAAATAATACAAAAAGGTATAAATAACAAGGCGAATACAAAAGAAGGTGCATGGATGGACAAAACTGAGCAAAATCAAAATAGATTGCAATTGTGGAGTTTGTAAACTTGTTAGCCTAACAGTTCTTTAAATGTGATTTTTGTTGTTTTTAATATTTGATATTTATTGGACAAGAAGCTGTGTTTTTGTAATTTACCATTAACTTCTTTGCTACCGATGAGTTCCGTAGCTCACAAGGACACGTAATTGGCATTGTTGACAAATTAACTGACTTAGACAGCCTCGACACAGCCCCTTTTAAAGATGCAAGAGCTTTAAAATTAAAAATACCTTTGAGTTTATTATATTTTCGAGCAATTCGTGCTTTCTTTGTACGAAAACGCACGGTCGGTTCCCCCCAGATTAAGATGCGGGTTCTTCTATCTTTCCCTCGTTTCCCACGCAGATAACAGTCGGCGCATTGAAAGCGGATGAGATCCGTTGCGGATACTTTGATACCTTCTAGTCTGGCTAGGATATCTTTTGACTCAGAAGCCAATCATTACTGTTCCTTTGCCGAGCTGACTCTCGACCCCTGTCTTTTGGGCAAACGACGAAGTTGCATTACCCTTCAAGGAAACTGATCTTTTTGTTTTTAATTTGTTTGGAACTGGCCTCAAATTAACCGTTTTCCAGAAGTGTCCACACACATCTTCATTATTCGTTTACTTTGTTGAAGTTGTTTGTTCTTTAAGACATCGATTTCAAACACAATTTCTCATTCTCAATTTGAAAAAAAATTGCTTCTAATGTTCTCTTTCTTGTAAACTTTAAAAGTCAACCGTAATGAAACAATTCCACTTTAGCCCTTAAATGAAGAATCAGAACTGTTACAACTGGCATGCCATATCCGACTATAAGCGGTATTTCTCTTTCGCCCTTCAACTGCGTCCAGAATTTATCACATGTATTGCGTTGTTTTCTGTAAACTAATTTAATATGTTTTGGACATTTTTTTCATTAGATTGTCCTAAACTCGATGCACAAGTATCAACCCAGAGTACACATCGTGAGAAAACGAGATCACACGGCAGCAGTGATAGACCTAAATTCGAATGGAGCCAAAACGTTTGAGTTTCCTGAGACAAGTTTCATTGCTGTGACAGCGTACCAGAATCAACTGGTAAGAACTGAAACATCAAAATGATCACGAATCTCCAGCTGCGACGTTATTGTGAATAAACAAGTAAGGTTTACTGGAGCTCAGATTAAACAGAGAATCATACCTTGGTGGGGGTATATTTTAAAACTAGCAAGATAATCAAAAATGGACTATTAATTAGCAGTCTTTGGTGATTTTAAAACTTAAATCGAGAACCATCGCAATTGCGACTACAAAATTATGTGACAAAAAGAATGTGATGATTTGTTCTCTTATTAGCAATTTTGTAGCATAGGCAAAAACGTGACTTACTTCAGAGACATATTCCACTGAAAATGTATCGTTCGAAATTTTATTTATTTCTTTCCTCACAACTCGGGCATCTGAACTTGTTACCTGCAAATCAATAAAGATTCAACTAACATTTTTTTTTCTTTTCGTGATGAATTGCATGCAGTGGGAAATAATGACGGTCAACGTGCACCGCGCGCCAAGAGTAACTGTTTCTGACCCACTTAGAACCTCAAATATCCACATCCGCCATTTTTCTATTCGCAGGTAAAAGCCAAATAATTATAAACAGTAATAAATCGAATAACGCTACTTTTCGTCTAAAAGTCGACTTTTTTGCACAAAACTCAGATCGCCAGATAATTCGCCAATTTTTTTGGTAGTCTGCAGATCAGATGCTACATGAAGAAGAAAGGAAGTCGGACTAATTGATACGCATAGGATGCGTTAAGTCACGAAAACTGAAGGAAAGATTCAAATAAAGTAAAAAGAAGATTTTAAGGCAGTTTTAGTAGAATACTTCCACAATTATGCAATTAGGATGAAAATGAATCTTCTATGGTACCAGACGGAACAAATGACTTCAATATTTGGATTAATAATTCTTCAACTGGAACTCTTCATAACTTTTAAAGTTAATCCTTAGCTGTTTTGTCCTGTAATTAACCTATACCGTTCTTAAACTGCATAAAATGGATTTATCGTTTAGTTTTGCATGAAAACATACCTTCTTAAAATGCAGAAACTACATTATTTCACAAGGAAATCTTCGGTTGTTTGAAGTGTTCTTATTGCTGGAGAATTTCAGTTCTACAAAAACAACTTCGCATTCAGGAAGAATTATATACTTATTTGCAAAGTCTCAACATTGTGCCAATACAAACAGATCGTTAAAAAGTCATTCAATAAAGGTCAGTTTCGTGTCATTTAGTGCTTAGACACACTTGCGGTATTAAGTTAAAGCTAGTTAACGCATAAGTCAATCTTTTGTCACAAAGATCAAGATGGTATGCTGAGGCCAACATCTGTTTGTTTTGTCATTACAGATAACTCGCCTGAAAATCGACAGCAATCCCTTTGCGAAGGGATTCAGGGAATCCATCAGAATCTTACCAATGCAAAGGTACGCACGACCCAAGTCGTTTGAAGACGCTCTCCTCCTTTGAGATGAAATAGAGAGAAGCAAATCTTCGCTAGTTGTACATATCCCCCCCCCCTTCCCGGTTGACTGTTCTAAACCTCTTATTTCATTGTTCCCCTTTAATCTGAACTTCCATTGTTTTCATGGATAGGCGCATTGTTATGTCACGATCCCTTAATTGTTTTTCCAGCCAATCACAAACAATGTTTCAAATAGATGCAGATCTCCCGTACATATCAAACCAATTTTTGATTTTTTGAGCACTGTTTTTCGTGGGACCAAAGGTACATTCCACCGCTGAATGGCTCGCTGAAGAAACAGAACGATTTTCCCTTCGCTTGTTGCTCATCTACTCATTCATTATGTAGTATTTTACATAGTTATATATTATCACTCTGTATCTTTTCGATTCTGAAATAAGACGAACGAAAAAAATTTATTTCATCATTCTCGTTCTTCAGTGACTTTTTTTAGATATTTTAAAGCATACCGGCCTTCAGTGATATTTATCAACTAAACTAAAAGGTTCAACTCATACCTCTCCTAATTTATACAGGTTCTAAAATACTCCCTTTGTTTCAAGCTGCAATTTACTAACCTTGTTTTGAGTGTAAAAATTAGAGCATTCGCCATTTGGAAATCTCCCATAATACACCTACTTTGCCCCCTAAACTTTTGCAGAAGCATTGTCTTCAGTTTCCTGGGAAGGAGGGCTGAAATACCCAGGAAAAATACATATAAAAAAAAGGTTAGGACAAATGTTAGGTTAAACAGGATGTATTATGGGATATGTGCAAATGGCGAATATCAACATAAGTGTGAGATTCGTTCAGCAGCATTCTTTTTTATTTATTTCAGGTAAGTAGACGCATGACTATCATCACCGTATTTGAACAAATGTTTAAATAGTCAAACCATGGCACCCTAGTTTTGATAACCGACCGACTGCAAGGCATCCTAAAACTTGTGACGATGGATTGATAAAACAATCCGTGCAGTCAAGTATCTACTACACTGAGCCAACCCCAAAATTTTTGGCATGCGCAAAACTTAGAGTACGTGTTCTAAAGAACTAATAACACCTAGGGAAAGAGGTACTGTTTCTAAAGGCTCACAGTGGCACCAAGGTAAAACAACGCGTCTAAGATTAAAATGAGTGCAGCCTCCAAGGTTTCATCTTAAGCTGCTAAGAATGCAAATTTTCAATTGCACGATTGCTCCCCACATGCTGAAACCATTTTTCATCATTAGCTAGAAACATTGTTGATCAGTTTACCCTTTTTCTTTATTTATTTATATTTATTTTTATTATTTTCTTTTTTTTTTCCTAGAGAGTGTGCACATAGGGTTGCGTACTACCAAGGTCATGTCCCTGTCTCCGTCTCAACACCTCATCTTCCAAGCCATTTTTTATCATCTGCATCTTTGCAAGGTCAAGTGGAACACAAAGGCATATATTGTGCAGGGTGCGTGACGAGTCTCAGTAAAGGTGGGCCTAAATTTGTTTGTTTTTTTGTTGTTTAACTGGTCTAAAAAGCGTTCTCAACGGTTGAAAAAAAATCCATTTCATTTGTTTAAACGCTACCCTAACATTTATATTGTCAAATTGTTAAGTTGTTGCTCTTTTCTCGATGATCATACTTTAAAGTCAGCACCAAAATTTGTGTAATTTGAAAACAACACTTTGTCGTTTTACGCTAACTTTTGTGACCCTCAAAAGATTACGATGAACCACCCACCTACCACTCGGTAACCTGACATTTAACCTGGTTTAAACCGCGTGGGGTTTTTAAATTGTTTTATTTAGGCATTAAGTGGAAAACACGGAGAAGGGTGTTTAAAACAATAAGATCATTTCACTTCCTTTGTTTTAAAAGTAATTAGCTTCTTTTCGTAGCAGGCAGTTCACGCTCCTGTAAAGTTATGTTAACAAATGGCGCCCAAATTATCACCAGTTTCAGTTTTCAAACACTTCGGATTTTTTAGTAAGTTCTCAAAAGGTTTAGTGAACTAACAGTGTGTCGGTAATACATAAAACGTATAATAGTGAAGGTAACAACCTTAGCACCTTGCTTAACTTTACAAATTTCTCTCCCTTCTAGAACGTACTTCCTTAATTTTGAATTGGCCTGTTCTTCAAGCGTTGCATTTGTGTTTTCCTACTCCTTCACATTAAATTAAAACAATCGATTAAAAATAACCTCTCACAAACATTTCATTTTGAAAGAAGCCAATTGTTTGAAAGTCGTGTTTGGCCAAAAACTCAATCAATAATAGATCCCGCTGAAGGATGATTGAAAGGCAAAGATCGAGAGACAACAAAAATATACCTGATCCAAACTGCGTGTCACGGTATTACAGAAACAGACCAACAATCGAACCGAATCAGATCATTGGGTGGTGCTTTTACTTATCTACCATTTTTACCCTCTAGAAAGAATTTTTTAAGGAACTACTACTAATGTACTACTACTACCACAACCGCCACCACCACCACCACCAACACCGCCATCAGCACCAACACAAACAACAACACCAATACCACCAACACTAACACCTTCAATAACACCAGCACCAACACCAACACCACCACTAATACCAATACCACCACCACCACTAATACATCCAAGAACACCACCAACACCACCACCATCAACACCACCACAACCAACACTACCAACACCAACACCAATACCACCACCACCACCAACACAACAACCAACACCACCACCAACACAACCACCAACACTAACACTTTCAACAACGCCAACACCACCACCAACACCAATACCAACAGCAACACCAAACACCACCACCACCACCAACACAACCAAGAACACCACCAAAACCAACACAAACACAACCCAGAACACCACCAACTCCACCACAACCAACACCACCAGCCCCAACAAAACCAACACCACCGCTAATACCACCATCTCCAACACAACCAACACCACCATTACTACCTACACCACCATTACCATAACAACAACAACAATAACACCAACACACATGTATAACTATCACCATAATTTTCTTCCATCTTCCTTTGAAATTTTCTGTAGAACGGTAGCATCCATACACTCATACAATACCAGGCTTGCTTCTAAATCAACCTATTATCTCAATACTATCAAAAGAAACCATGGTAAATTCAACTTTCGCTTTGCGGCTGTAAAAGCTTGGAATAACCTTGATGAAAGCATTAAACACCTCCCACTTAAATCCTTTAAAAACAAAGTCATGTTAAACATCTTATAGTCTTACTGTTCGTGAGTCTTTTTTTTTTCTTTTTCATTTTTTTTCCTTTTATCTATTTACTAATTCCTTGTTTGTTCTAGCTTTAGTGCCAACCTACCTCCTATGCCTGAACATTATTTAGCTTTACTCAGCTCGATTAGCTTTTTAGTTATTCTGAGTAAATGTTACCTTTTTTTGTATTAATATATTATATTGTAAATTAAGTTAACTTTTATTTGGTAATAAAGCTTATGTTGTTGTTGTTGGCAACAACACCATCACCACCACTGCCACCAACACCAACACTACCACCACAACCAACACCACCGCCAACACCATTACCAACAACACCACCACCACCACCGCCACCCTTTCAACTAATGTGCTATTACCACAATTGAGGCTACTTACACTGTAACCCTCACAGTATTGATTGATCCCAAGAAAGCTAATCCCCCCCCCCCGTCGTCCTTCGTATCTTCAACAGTAAATGGAAGATGTATATATATTTGAATCTGAGTCTTGTGAATTATCATCGGCGTTTTCTCTCCTTGTATAACTTGCATGTACTTATTTCTTATTTCTGCTTTCTGGTAATTGTTTGTATCTAGGACACCTAACAGCTGTTCACCACAAAGCCTTCCTACAACCTGAGCTACACGCACCCGACGTTCACCTGCAGCTGACAGTGGGGTCTATTAAGACAGAGTCACCACAAGGCCATCTCTGTCCTTGCGTTTCTCCCTGCTGCAACAACATCAAATAGAGTGGCATAACAAAGTTACTGCAAATAGCTTTGCATAAAACTTCGGGGTCGACGCCTTGTTTCAATTAACAAACACAATGTTTGACCTGCAATGCCAAATAATAGAAGGGAATGGCTAAACTAAAATCAAAGTACAAGCTAACTCCGTGTACTTTTGAACTCAAATCGGCGTAAGAAACGGTACCCGCAGATTCGAATTCCTTACTAGAGCGGTGCTACTTACAAACTATTATGGCACACATTGGACATTAATGAGGGTCATTTTTGATTGCTTATGTGACAAACACAGAAAGTCAACATGATACAGATCCACAAGTTTTGCTTTTCTGCTTTAATTTAATTTATTTTTTACCGCATACAATGCATGTTATTTTACCAATAAGAATAAAAACGTTAACTGTATGTATATCCTAGCTGATATGTAATATGTACCTATTCGTGCTCTCTCAATTGTGCTCCTTATCACGGCATGAAAAATTCTAAAGCAAAACATACAATTGAGCCTAGACACCTCGACCTTTACCCTGCCTACAAATACTTTTCTAGGAAATCTTTTAAAACTTGTCCTTGAATTGCATAAAGCAAATATTTATCATCACATAGCTCTTTACTAACTGTGAAGAGAGAATTCTTCCTTGCACCTGATTAAAGTTGTCATCCTACGTCTTACTTTGTTTTACAATATAACTTCGGATACGGTAATGTTTGTCGCGACGACTTTAAAATGCTTTCTACCGAACTCGTGTGTCACCCGCACCGTTTAATCCTATTCAGACCACGGGAGGGCTCCCCCACAATTACTAAAAAGTTGAATAACTTCCAAACCGTTCAAGATATGACCGCCAAACTTTTCGTCTTTTCTAAAATTTTCTGGGAAAATGTTTAAAGAGTTGTTAACAATGATAAAGTTGTATTGGTTTTTAATCTTCACGAAATTGTAAACATCACGTGGCGCTAAAAAGTTCCTGTATTTCCGAGAAGCGGATGGTTTTAATTGGCAACAACTTAGGTCCATTCCATTATTATACTGCTATTTTGAATTTCAAACAATCGTTTGGATCTATTATTTTGCTTTTGGTACCGTCTATCTAGGGCCAAGGTTGTTTAGTTTAGGATTATGCTTTATTTTTGTACAGGCGACACATTAAACTTTACGTGACTGTAGCATTAAAGCTTATTGAAACATTAGATCGGGTGTATGCGCCTGCGTTAGTCATCGCTACGATGTTTACTTATTTCATTTATTTATTATTTTGTGCTTAAATCACTCCCTTATGATTCCCTCCATATTCTAATCAAGTTAGTCGCATAATACTATCAGTTAACAATAGAGCGTTTTCACATGACGTCGCGTACGCCATATTGGTATTCCAAATAAAGAAACGGCTGCCATATTGGTGCACCAAACCAGTCCCGTAGGAGTTGATCCCTTTCCTTATGTGAATTCTTTCATTAGTTCCAATAAATTTGCATAGCAGCTGCCCCCGTGTGTGAAAGCGCTCAATAGCTTCTATTATTTTAAATAACGAAGGCGAATGTTATTCAGTTAACACTATAGTCCCAACGAACAAAAGTATTGTGGGGTTTTCACAGTTGCTGTATAAAGTGTTCCACTCACATCTCTTGTAAGTACCTATTCAAAGAATGGCCAGTACGAAGATGCGCTTCATAAGCCTCCAGCCAAATTAAGCCCTTCATAACAACCTGATATAACGTATTGTCATCTTTCCACAAACTGCTGTTGAAATGACATATCTTGGTACAGCCATCCCTGATTCCCAAAATGTGGTCTGCTCCGCTCATACCACTCATCAAAGAACCGTCTCTTCTTCTAAGGCATGAGGAAGGATAGCTTACAATCATTTCAGGGCAAGAACTGGGGTAGTCCGATGGCAGATAAACTCTGAGTGTGTATTGCTTGTCGTTGGTACACGTCACTCTAACTTCGACTCTGGTGTTGCCAGTGGGATCGATCCATGTTACTCTGTTACGGAAGTACTTCTCAAGTAAATTTTTCTCAAATCCAAGTCTTTTCTGCTGTGTTGCTGACCAAGGCATAATTTGTTTTGAATATATATTTTCTTATTTGGAGTAGAAAACGTGCCAATATTTAATCGCTTTGCCGAACTAATTTATTTGGTATTTGTTTACTTGAAAGCAGTTTTTTCATCTAGTCATTAATCATTTCTTGGAAAATCACGTATGGTCATTGAACCATAAAAAATGCAAGATCACGTATATTTCTCAGAAGTCAAGTTTAGAAACAAATTAATGAGAGTATCTTACCACGAGTGATCTTTGCAATTGTCGGTTTGCTGCTTGTTTGATTATTCGTTTACATTTAAAAATGCCAAGTAAAAAGTTTTTATGTCAATACGCCAGTTCTGCGGCCCTTTGATTTAAGTAAGACAAAAAGAACTCTAACTACCCTACTTTCATTTCAATACAAATCCATGATTATTATTAATATTTCGAATTGTTCAATCTTATTACATGACACATCATGAGGTAAACCAACTGTATTTGTCTCCATAGCCCGGACTAGGAAACACAACTATTTTGTGATGAGAAATGATTTTTATTATAATTTTTTTTTATAATGTATTAAAGAATATTAAATGATTTATTGTGCTAACCTATGAAACAAACAAACGGCCTAACCTTTACTACAATGAAACCAACTAAAGTTTCTGTTTGGAATTGTTCTACAATCATGCGTTAATTCGTACAATGGGCTTGTTTTCAGTTCTTGTTCTGTGAAGCCACTACATTTGCCACCCTCCTACATTTCTTGCATTAAGTATTTGGTCAGCGAGTTTCCAGTTCGAAGATGTGCCTCATAAGCCTCTAGCCATATCAAACCCTTCATGACCACCTGTTAAAGTGTATTATCATCCCGCCACAAACTACGTCTAAAGTGGCAAATCTTTGTGCAGCCATCCCTGCTGTCTAAAGTGTGATTGCCTCCATTTGCGTCGCTCAGTAAAGATCCGTCTCTCTTCCGCAAACAAGATGATGGATTACTCACCACCATATCAGAGGCATTAGGAAACAGATTTCTTGGAAAAAAGGAATGACGATGCCCAAAGAGACTAACTACACAATTTGTCTTCTGCAGCTGTCACGGATCACTTGCATCATCCGTCCGGGATTGGGGGGTAAACCCTATCATCGAAATATTGCAATAAGGCTTTCCAAAAGGGGTAGCCTTTTTCAGGCTGCAGGTGGTGAAAGGGGAGACATTTTATAAAAGTATATAAAAAAAAAATCTATTAGGTCCGTGGTCCTTTTGCTAACAGATGAATTCATGGACCTTTATAAAGTCGAGAAAACATTTCATTTTTGTGATTGATTCTTTTAAAATGACAGTGCATTTATAGCAAAAACAAACATGGTTGGAAAGATCTAAACAAAAAAAAAAACAGGAATCATTCTGTTATCCGTTGTAAATTTAGAAAAGAATGTTTTTCTATCTAAAATTTATATGAAAAAAGGTAACAATTTGGTCCTGCGAGGAGAAAGTTGAACAAATTAGGAAACAGGATTCTTGGAAAAAAGGAAACATCCTATTCTGCCCATTATAAAGATCGTCTAGGGTGTACTTTTAACAAGAAGATTAGAGACACTTCTATGTTATGATATGGATGTTCCTAGGAAATTAGTGTTGGTGATGCACATGTAGTAATGTTGTTTTCGTTTTCAAGCTCGCGTGACGTCTGGCTTGTACAAAAATCAAACATTGCATCAATTTTCAGGTGGTAATAATATACCTGCCTGTTCTTTGCTAACGAAAATTAAGAAACGGATGGTTGTCTTCCCGGCTCAGATAATGATGTAAACAATCCAAATTATGTTACAACGTCACGATCTTAAAAAGCTTGGAGAATTCCATTCCTCTAAAATGATTTATTTTGTGTTCGTTTTGACCTTTAGTAAAGTTTTTCTTAAATATATTTCCCACACAACCTCTTGCGTTACCTTTTGCTAAGATTGGCCACTTCTTAAAGCACCTGTATATAACACCATACTAAAAGATCAGCTGTATCGCGTTGTAATACCAGTTTACTTTCAGTTATGACGCAGATGATGATTATGATTATTTACTTCCGATTCATCGGGTCACAAACTGCATCCCAATGCAAACGGTATACGTCACACACACACACACACAGTCTCAAGACAGTGGTTTCAACTCATGTAAATGGAATTGAAAGGCTATATTTACAATTTTGGTAATAAAAACGTCACTAAAAATTGGCAGGGTGTAAATTCTCTGAAATTCAAGTCATTTAATAACTACAAGTTAAAAGCAATGGCATGATCACACGGGCATTTTTTTCCGGTTGCCTAGCATTAATGTTTGCATAGCACGACAATGCCTTGCAAATGCTGCTTAATCTACAAAGGCCATTGAGAAGGAGAATAATATTTCACTCCTCAATATTGGTATAACCATTTGCGTCAGGACGCTCATCCATCATTTGTTGTTCTTTGAAATGTAAGCAGTGCTATATATATATATATATATATGCTACTACTACTAAAAATTGGCCGAAGAAGTTCAAAATCCTTATCACTCTCTTTTCGGATTGCAGTTGCTATATCATAAAAATGATTTTGTTTCTGACCGCCAGCTGTCTCTGTATTAAGTGGTACGGCGGAGCAAGTAGTAACAGGCCACAAGAACACAAAACACACAAGCGGCGAAGGCTTTTCTGCCCATGGTATGGCGATACTGGTTAACACTCTGACCTCTGGAACTCATTTCAGAAAGATACACATTCAAAGGTTGTCCTGTACGAAGGTGGGCCTGATACGCTTCCAGCCATATCAAACCTTTCATGACCACTTGGTATAACGTGTTGTTATCTTTCCACAAATCTGGTTTGAAATGGCAGATTTGGGTACAGCCGTCCCGCACTCCGTAAGTGTGATCAGCGATTCCGTGTAAGGCGTTCCCGTTGCGTTTCTTTAGCGTAGTCATGGACGGCGTCTTCACAATCATAGGAGGGACGGAGTTAGGAAAATCTGGCGGCAAGTAAACTCTCAAGATGTACTGCTTGTCGTTGCTGCAGGTCACTAGGACTTCAACCTTTGTCTCCCCTGCCTCAGTTGGATTAATCCATGTTAATCTGTTTTGAAAGTATTTTTCAAGCAATGACTTTTCGTATGCAAGCCTTTGTCGTTGAGTTGCAGACCAAGACATACCGACACTACGGCAAAGACGAATTTTGAACGTATGTTTTGAATCCTGAAAAAAACAACTCAAAAGTCAAAACTTCCTTTCGCTTTTCATGCGCATGTGCTTTAATGTCCTTTCTAGGAAAAAGCTTGCATTGCCACCTTCATTATTCATAAAAGGAGGTGCATTTAATGTTCCCTTTTTTTGAAACAACAATATATAACAAGAAAAAGGCGACTTAGAAAATCGAAGTAATATGATAAAAAGTGAGAAGGTAAATTTTGAGCCAGGCGAAAGCATGAGAAAGGTACTTATTCAGTCAGTGACTCAGCGGGGCTGCTCGGAAGAAAAAATCTGAATACTCCCAAAAAGAAGTCAAACTTATGACCTCCTGGCTACAGGAGCCCATAACCCGAAGCGAGCAACTTCCATGCGCTCGTGTCACGTCGTTTTCATGGACCAGTTTATTATTGGAACGGTTTTGGCGCGAATTTTGAATACCTTTTAAATTCCACAAACCAGGCAGCAAAACTTACAGATCTAAAAATAATATTTTTTTGCTTTTTAATAACATTTAGTTTTCCTTTACGATATCTTATACTTCGAATGCGCTCATAGACATGGTGGAGATTCTTTTTCGCGGAAAACGTGCCCTAAAATGTGTCTAAAAATAAACTGGTCCGTAAAAACGCCGTGACAAATGCCTAGTACGGGCGTTGCTCGCTCCGGGTTATGGGCTCCTGTGGCTGATAGTCCAGATGCTCTACCACTGAGCTACAGGAGACTTATAGGAGCTAAGAGCACTAACCTATAGGTTTATGTGACAAACATTCTGCAATAATCAAATACAGGGGCTGATCTAGGGAAGGGTGCAGGGAGTGCCCCCCCCCCCCCCTCCGGAGAGGGCTCCTGACAACTGGTATTCTGCGAAATATGCAGACATGTATGATATATGTATTCTCGGGAGTTCAAATCATGTTATTGCCTAGACAAAAGCCTTCTTCTTCGTATTCGCTTTAAAAATTTTTTTTTACGTCACTGGTCAGTTACGCTATTCTTTAGTGGTGTACACTCTCCTAAGAAAAATCTTGGATCCGCCCCTGATATATCACTAACAAGAGACATACTCAGTTGTATAACAAAATTAGTCACTGAGGTGCTGAGCTGACATGAGCCGGGTAGCGACCCGGTTTACCTGGCTGGATCATTTTGCTTAGACCACTTTCGTGCTCAGTATTAATTACGCCATCTATTGTAGTTACCGGGAACCCCAGCTTATCGTGCTGGTTAGATTGTCATGTAATGACAGAATGATTTTTGAAGTAGCCTCGCACCTCTATAAAATCTCCAGTTTCATTGGACCCGTATATTTCAAACCTCTTTTACTTTGGTTTTAGGGTGCATAGTTTACTTGTTCATTCATCCCGTTTCCAACTTCATGTGAGGCCTTGCTACAGGTGCGAGGGGAAAATGTGGAGCATATTCATTATCATTTTACTCGTTTTTTCCTTAGGCTCGCCTATTCTCGGTAGGGTCACCGCAACAGCGCGTGGCGCCAATTACTGCGGACCCGTAACAGTCCATTCCCCAAGGAGAGATGGACCACCACAACGGGGACTACTCATTACGAGCGGTGTGCGGGTTCTGTCAAAGTTTCTCTGTGCGTGGGTTGTAAGACGGGTCTTACGGTTTATCGTCCTTTTCCGAGAAGACTAGAAAGTCTAACCGTTTGCAGATTTCTTTACAAAGGCAGCACCATCCCCGGAGACCCAGGGGCAGTCAGTTGGGTCGGGAGAAAAGGTGCGACGAAAGTTTTTAACCACGGGCGGAAGAGCCCCCGGCTAGGGAACCGACTCTCACCAGCCCATTTACAAACGTTCAAGCCAATGCTGGCTCCTGATTGAGCACAAAAAATGATGATGATGATCATGATGATGATCATGATGACGACGACGATGATGATGACGATGATGATTATTGCGACACCGGAGGTACCAAAAATTTTAATTATCTTTATCGTCCTTTTACCAAGAGATTCGTTCATGCGCGATATGATTTTGACTAGATAAAAATAAGCACTTCTTGGGCAAAAAGAAAAAGCAGCATCCGTTACTATACACATATCAATTTTCACTCAATTTACACGTCAAAAGGTTTTCAGCCGCCTTGTTGATGAAACATTTGGTTGATTTTCTCTTATACATAAAAAAACTGATTTGATCTAGGCCTTTGATTCCTGCGAAATTTTAATCTTATGGCTTATGTGAATGTCCTAATCCTTAATTGTTCGTTTATCTGTCACGATGCGCAGTCACATCTCAGCTAGATAAGCATTTAAATTTCTTCCCGTTCGTAAATGGGCCTCGTATGCCTCCAACCATATCATACCCTTCATAATAACTTGATACAGTGTGTTGTCATCCTTCCACAAAGCCGGCTTGAAATGACAGATCATTGTGCAGCCGTCACGGGTCCCAATAATGTGGTCAGTACTGCCTCCACTCATCTCACCTCCGCTGCGACTTTTCACCGTGGTCATTCCAGGGGTTTTCACAATCATATCGGGAACAGAGTTTGGATAGTCTGATGGCAGGTACACTCGTAAAGTGTGCTGTCTATCGTTGCTGCAAGTCACTCGGACCTCAACCTTTGTGTCGCCTGTCGGATCAATCCATGTTACTCTGTTGCGGAAATATTGTTCCAGCAGCGATTTCTCAAATGCCAGTCTTTGTCGTTGAGTTGTTGACCAAGGCATGAGTTCGGAACACTGTGACTGATAAAAGTCGTTATAGTTTTATCCGATAGTGTGTATTTCCCTATTCCCACCGGATAGGGAACACCTGATGTGATCACTGGTCTGCACGATAAATGAGCAAAGCACTACTTTTCTCAAACAATACTGATACATTTGCATTTCAAAATTTGCTTTCTTGGAATATTTAGCCGCGCTCATGCGTAGAAGTTTAAACTTTCTTGCCCCTGAATTTTAAACCTTTTCTTATATCTTAAATTCTTAGGGGTGCTTTGCTTTGCATAATGAAATGATTTCTCTTGATTTGGCATATATTTTGTTTCCTTTCCGAGCCTTTATTTGGATAAAAAAGAAAAAAGAGTATCGTACACAGATTTTTCTTGGAAAGACCGGTAGTCTACTGACCTCTATTCGGGCACTTTATTCATGCAGGTTGATCTCGTGGAACTGTTTATTCAGTTTGAGAAAAATAGTACTTGAAAGGTAAGTCTTTTGCCTTTTTGTGTATTTTCTTATAAACGGAATCGCTCATAGGATATTATATTGTTCCTGTTGCATTCTTTACGGTAACATTTTGACATTCATGGTGGTTTTAATTCATCGATTTCATACGAGGCGACTTTCTCTTTGTGCTATTTATGCCAAAGTTTAATTATTTTACAGGCATATTTTATCTGCCTTACGTAAAATCCAGCTAGACATATCATGTCAGTTTGATGTAAATCGCTTTCGTTTCAAAGTGTTCTCGTCCTTCTTATGAGTTATTCTAGTGGTATTTTTAGAGTTAAGAGGTACATTTGTTTCGATTTCAAATTCGCTCAAAAGGCTAGCTTTGATGGGCCGTTAGGTCCTCAAAAGGTCAATTTCCACTGTTTTCTCTTTTATAAGCCTGTTCCTTCATTCTTTAATTGTATTTGTCAGTATGTCATAAATCAAGTGCCTTTACTTAACAACTCAATGTTATATAGGAGATGGAAGTTCATGGTGCAGCTTCAGTAAAAAACACAGATTGAATTGAAGTTTGTACAACAATTGATTGAACCCATAAGAGTAGTTAAGGATAGTCTGAAGGCAATTTTTTCCATTGCTCCCGTATTCTGTTACAATTTTTTTAACGGTTGGGGATATTTTAGCAGAAATTTGTCTTAATTTCCTGCTTCCTGAATTCCAAGAAATAGCTATTTTCAACTGAGTCCTCCCGAGGCGCCGTGGCACTATTACTTATAATGTCAACTTCAAGACTGCTCCTTGCGTGTTCCACCCTTAACCACACCTTAGAATGATCTCTTTCATCTCGTGTGTATTAACTAAATAATACTCGGACAGGTAGCTCTAACATGACAGTGATCAGAAGTATATTTGTATCCCCAGCAAGGTGTACAATCGTTTGCGTAGGTCTTTAAAGTCCGTTGATGACTCCATCTCAAAGTATGCTACCATCGGCTTGTAACTACATGTAGCGATCAATAGAATCTCCAGTCTGAAGATGAATCTCATATATCATAAGCCTCCAGCCAAGTCCTTCGCAATTCCTTTCATAATTATGTCAAATAACGTTTTATCGCCTTTCCATGAGCGAGGAAGGAAGTGGCAGATTTGCGTGTAACCATCTTTGCTTGGAAGTGCAATTAATATTCTCGTGTTTTTTTTTTTCTTCTTCTTTTTTGGTGTGTTTGTTTTTATTGTAACAACAATATCTAACAACAAAATGGCTTGATAACGATTTAGAAACTAGAAGTAATATATCAAATGTTTTATCACAAAATCAAACACTGAGGTGCTGATTATATGAACCGGGCAGCGATGCAGCTTACCAGGCTGGACAATTTCGTCAAGCCGACTTTTATTTCCCAGCATTAAGTCATCTCGATGCCGGGAACCCCAGCCAAACACGCTGGCTAGAATAGCATGTAATCACAAAGTTGGTTTTCAACCATTTTGGAATCTCTTAAAAGCTCAAATATATGAGTTCAAGATGGGAATTGAATCGACAACGTCAGTCTTCCAGACACTAGTCGGATGCTCTAATCAATGAGCTACTGAGAACTCTAGTGATGAGCAGGTCATTTGTTAGCTGACATATAAGCCCCTATCGCACTATTAAATTTCATCAAATGAACACATCATGAAATAACGGCATCACGCAGTCACGTTAATACTGGTTAAACAATAATAAATTCAATAACTTGAGTAGATAGCCTCCCCGCAGACGTCCTTTGGGGTTCGTTTGTCACGCATTCATTTCTCCCCACGGACGTCTGCTAAACAGAGCCGACTTTTACGTTCTGGATTGTTTGAATAAGCCAATAAGCGGTTAGTTATTGTGTCACGATCAGCCAATCACGCGCCGTGATATAAGTGATGTCTCTGGTATTCTCAAGTGAATCAGGCGGTGTGCGTCACGAGATTCGACCAATCAGAATGCGTCATTTGTAGAGTGATTTTCGCGCTCGGAAAGAGCTGTTTTCAGAGGTATATGTGGTGAAATTTTCGCTTTATTCCAAGCTTGTGTTGTTAATTTCGACACTATACCGCCGTGGAAAGTTGTTGGAACACTTTATCTTGATAGCAGTTGCGTTACTTTTAAATATTTTGATTTCTTTAGCGTTTGTGACAAGTTTGAATTACTCGGTCATGTGCAGGCCGCCATGATGATTTGAGTGTTGTTTTTGCCGTTCTTCTTGGATTTATTGGTGGTTACTGTTAGCGGTTTTATCGAATTATTTTGGCCATCTTGTTACTTCAACCTTTCTTCTTTGCAAATTTCGGGGTCTACCCGGGTCTACCCCAGTTAGTTTTCCCGTTATGAGCCGTTGAAAGTGTCTTGGAATTAAGACATCGTCTCAGCCAAGTGTCACAACTCCCGGGAAACGGGCTGAGAAAACATGCCGAAGCGGAAGCCGACGTGAAGCGAGTAACGCCAAATCCAGGAAGAGTTGGTTCTATTTTAAACCACAAAAGGTAAATAAGTTTGAATATTGTAATAACCTTTGGAAACAAAACATTTTTCATAGCCCAGTGCGGAAACTGAAAGCGTGACTTTAAAATAATTTGCATTCGGTGTGTGCCACGTGTATGCAAATCTTCGTGTAAAGTTACGTGAGCGAATAAATTGTTATAAATCTCTACCAAAACCCAAAACCATTATCGAAGATCCAGACAACATCATACAGGATTTTAAAACTGTGAGGTTAGGTTTTACTATATAACAAAATCGATATACTGCGCTCACTTCAATGACCGCACAGACAAGATCTTGTTTTATTTTACCTGATTTTACTGTTTATTTCTGCGGCTGTATGTTCGGCTCTTTCGGTCTGTTTTCTCCTTGCCTGATAGAAGATTTATTTGCGCATAAGGATTTCAAACGGGCACTGTTTTCAAAATAATATAAACTTGTCGATGAAAATAAAATTGTTATGAGAGACGATTTCTCACCTAGCTGTTTGCACGCGCTCCCCCTGCTTTGCCGGTAACAAAGTCCATCAAATATATAAACACTTCTAATGGACGAATCTTTTTTAGTTAAGCAAATCCAGGTATGAACTACAGATCTCTTTCACTATGAGATAAAAACATACATATAAACCAAACAGTACATAAAATCTTATGAGAAGCAGGAAATTAGTCGCCGCTCAAAGGCGGCTAGATCGCACGATCGTCTCCGAACCGCGATAAACTTCTTGAAATTGCCTTATGAAGCCAATAGCAAGCATCTGAGGCCACTATGAGATCTTGAAAATTCTCGAAATCGCTCTCTTCCGTAATGATTTTCGGAAAAGGCAGCAGTGTTTTGATCCCTGGGTTTGATTCACTTCTCTCACGAGATGCGAACTCGACCGTGTCACGATTGAAATGAGGCACGGTAACAGTTTTACCCGTGAACCTTTGTGGGTCGTGACGCACACCGCCTGCAAGTGAATTATTTATTTGCACAGCTATCTTCTACATGAGACGACTCAAACGTTTTGAAGAAATCACAGAAACGATGCAATAAAGCTGCAGTCAGCTGTATATTTTTTTCGGAAGTTGTGACTAATCTGCTTTTCTTTGAAAGACTTCAGACAACAGTCTCCCACACGAGCGCGGAGTGGTTTTCAGCGCGGTCGAAAACAATAATTACTATTAACTCTGTATATATTCGAAGTATTAAGAAAAGAGAACTTGTAAACGTGTATAGGGAAGATATTCAAAGCATTCTTCGAAAACAAAGGCCGTTTCCTTTTTTGCAAAATGTAATTCCTCCAAGGTCATGGGTCGCGAACCAAGGACCAGTACGCAAAATTTGGTTATATTTTTTCAAGAGTCGGTAAAACAAAAAATTCGAAGTCTACAGCAATGTGCTTCCAACGGCAGAAAAACGTTTATCTGAAAACTTGTTCTGCAAAAAGGCACGTCCTCCCATTGCGTTTTATTTACTCACAAGGTAAGTAAACATGACCACGGTGCCGCCGAGTCCAAACTTCAAGCTAGAACGACAAATTAACCTACCTGTCAACAAACTTTAATCTCGCTCCTTCAAAGAAGGAAAGAATGCTTATAATCAATAAATCATTGAACCTTTCATTGCACATTGTATTTTATTTCTCGACGAAATATTTAATCATGCTCGGGAAAGTCGCCGACCAAGGACCACATACTAACTGTATAAGTCACTCGCTAACATTTCCTCCACCGATCGATCTTCAACCAAGCTTCTGGGCTTCCGTGAACAACAGAGAAAGTCCCTCTATCGGCAACCCTCATATTCTCTTTGCTAATATCACTGAGCGTTACAGCAGGAATATTAATATTTTCCAGCTTTGTAGATTGATCTTTCAAGATTTACCAGGGGAGAAACAACATCAACAGTAATGTCCAGTAGTTCCACGCAATATGTCGCAAACAAGCAGCAAAGCTTGAGAGATAAGGGATTTGCCAAATCCCGTCGGCAAATTTATGAACTCATCGGTCTTCGCTATAAACATTTGCAGGATAGCTTCTCTCTGATACTTGTTTAACTCTGTATTAATTACAAATTTCTCGCACACTCGATCAAAAGCCTCACTGATCGTGCGAATCTTAAGAAGCGGCTCGGGTTACGTTTTACAAAAATCCGTAAACGGCCTGTGATTGGTGAACGTAAAAGTCGGCTCTGTTTAGCAGACGTCCGTGGGGAGAAATGAATGCGTGACAAACGAACCCCAAAGGACGTCTGCGGGGAGACTATTGAGTAGAGAGAACTCGAATTTTTTGTTGTTGTTGTTGTTAATTTTAGATGGGAATTCAGCCCAAGACCTTCTAGATACTAGTCTTATTATTAAGATGACGATGATGATGATGATGACGATGATGATGATGATGACGATGATGGCGATGATGATTATTGCAACGAACAATTTTAGTTAAAGAGGCATGTAGTGTCTTACGGATTTAATCAAGGATTGAATCGGATTTAACCACCAACACACACACCATTGCTGTTCGTGCAAACATGTGTATTCAATCTCATAACAGTCAGAGCGCATGCTTGATAATACAAACATGGGGGTTGAGGACGGTAGACCTAACTATTCACATATACTACAAGGCATACAACGTTTAGTTCTAAATTATTACCTTTACGACCTTTTACCAAGAAATTCGTTCATGAGCGATATCATTGGCCTTGTGGCTAATGATGTCAATGTCCTAATCCTTGTTCTTTTATTTCGTCACGATACGAAGTCACATCTCAGCCAGATAAGCATTTAAATTTCTTCCCGTTCGTAAATGGGCCTCGTATGCCTCCAGCCATATCATACCCTTCATAATCACTTGATACAGCGTGTTATCATCCTTCCACAAAGCCGGCTTGAAATGGCAAATTTGTGTGCAGCCATCACGGCTCCCATAAATGTGGTCAGTGCTTCCTCCACACATCTCACCTCCGCTGCGACTTTTCAGCGTGGTCATTCCAGGGGTTTTCACTATCATGTCGGGAACAGAGTTTGGATAGTCCGACGGCAGGTACACTCGTAAAGTGTGCTGTCTATCGTTGCTGCAAGTCACTCGGACCTCAACCTTTGTGTCTCCTGTCGGATCAATCCATGTTACTCTGTTGCGGAAATATTGATCCAGCAGCGATTTCTCAAATGCCAGTCTTTGTCGTTGAATTGCTGACCAAGGCATGATTCGGAAGCAATAGGTGACTGATAAAAGACGGCAGTATAGTTTCATCCGATAGTATGTTATATCCCTATTTACACACTTCACTGGTCTGCACAAAATAATTGAACAAAACAGTGCTTATCTCAAAAAATATATTTGCATTTCAAATTTCACTTTCTTGGAATTTCAGTAGCCGCGCTCATGCGCAGAAGTTTAACTTTCTTGCCTCTGAATTTTGAACCTTCTCTAATACATAGCCCAAAAAAAAATGGACAGATCATAAAGCAGAATAAATTTTTAAGGAGTGCTTTGCTCTGCATAGTGACAAAAATGTTCTTGTTCCTCTTGATTTCACATATTTTTCGCTTCCTTTCCGAGCCTTTACTCGGATAACAAAGAACATCGTATACAGTTTATTCTTGGAAAGACCGGTAGTCTACTGACCCCTATTGAGGCTTTTTATTGAATAGAAATGCAGGTTGATTTCGTGGAACGTTTATTCAGTTTGAGAATAATAGTCAAGGTAAGTCTGTTGCCTTTTAGTCTATACACGGAATAGCACATTCATGAATATTATATTTTTTTTCCGGTTGCACTGACTGAAGTGGCATTTTGACATTCAAGGTGTATTTTTCTGTTGCATTGACTGAAGGTAACATTTTGGCATTCATGGTGTTTTAATACATTGGTTTCATACGAGGCGACGTTCTCTTTGTGCTGTTTATGTCAAAGCTCCTTTTATTTCACAATGCATATTAATTATATCTGCCTTGCACAGTAAAATCCAAATAATTTTATGTCAGCTAGATGTAAATCGCTTTCGCTTCGAAGTGTTCTCGTCCCATGAGTCTTGTGAGTTATTCTTCTGGTGTTTTTAGAGTTAAGTGGTACATATGTTTCGATTTCAAATTCGCTCAAAGCCTTTGGACAGTTAGATCCTTAGCAGTTCAATTTCCACTATTTCTCTTTATAAGCCTGTTCCTTCATTCTTATGATGTTAGTATTTGTATGCATAAATCTAGTGCCTTAACTTAACGAATTAATGCAGACGGTTATATGTTAAACGCATGTTTATGGTCAGTGCAGCTTCGTTAAAAAAAAAAACACTGACAGGGCTTCAAGTGTCGCCATGTTTCCTATATTTCCTATATTTTTAAACTTTCCCTATATTTCCCTATTTAGTTTGTAAATGCCCTATAATCGTTATAATTCCATCAGAAAATAAAAATAGACTGAAGTTCATGATCTTCTGTTGGTGGAATGTGACAAAGACAGTGAATTTTTCGGACCATCCAAGACCACACTGGTAATAAGTTTATTATTGGTGCATGTAAGTGTAGTTAATTTGATGCTGCTGTGAGCAGTGATTCTTTATTCAGATATTGTTCAGATCTTAGAAGGAGTATGTATGCGGCAACTTTGTGTTCACTCGTTTTTCAAATGGAAAGGGATCGATCAATAATTGGTTGCTTTTAAAGTAGACAGTAGGAAAATAAAAATTTGCAATCTGTGATGAAGTATTTCTAATAATGTGCAAGGTTAAAGCTCAGTCTGACAGAATGACTATACCATTCTCAAGACTTATGTTGCTCCTTTAATTGCAACGGAGGACAAAACCAATGCTGCAAATGTTAAGATGCGATTCACGTAGAGAGCCAGAACCGTGGTCTTGCCTGATCAGAAGGTGGCACTTTTTATTAACTGAATATTCGCAAGCAAAAGGAATTACATTTAAAGACACTGTGCTCCACTCCAAAGATTCGCGTTATCCACAACTTGAAAAAGTGGAGGGTATCAGTCGTCAAGTACAATTCTCCATATTTGGTTTGTTGGTGTAGCTTCGAGTTTAAGCTATAATTCCTTCTTTTGGATCTGTAGATCACTCTTCATGAGAATTCTACATCTTGCAAGCATCTCTAAAACTCTGGACCCAGCCCAACAAAATATAGCAGGGAGTCATTGCTTAAAGGGACAAAACAACTCTACATTCAAGCAAATGGAGCAAACTATAGAAACTTAATCCTTTATCAAAAGGTTATTGAGTTGCAGTATCAAGGTTTACGCTTCAAAAGTGGTGACATTCTGTCAGAAACAAAAACCACCAGAAATCAGTAGGTTTAAAACAAACCAGCTTCATGCCCTCTCAATGTGAGAAAAACTCCACAGCATGAGCTACCCGCCAGAAAATAAAAAGAGGAGTAAACATGAGGTTAAAGTTGTATAGGCATACCAATTTCACTATTTCACCTAGAAAGAATTCTAACAGTTGCAAAACACAATAACAGCATTTTCACAGAAATTCTTTAGGGTCAGTGTGTGTATTAATCTAGGTACATTTTTTTACGTGCTCAAAGTTAGTGACCTTATTCTCTACTAGTGTTCACAATGTTGGACTAAACTGTATTGTGTTCCTTACCTTCTGCAGAGTTGCAAAACTGGCACTGGATAAAATAAGCTTTAAAAAATCCCTATTTAATATTTTCCCTATTATTTTACCATTTTCCCTATATTAGCCCTATATTTTTGAAAAATTGTCCCTATATTAAGCCCTATATTTTTGCTTAAGGCCACTTGAAGCCCTTCACTGATTGAATTGAAGATTGCCGTACAACTGATTCAGAACCCACAAGGGTAGTTGAGGATAGTCAGTCTGGAAGCAGTTTTGCCATTACCGTCCCTTATATCTACAATGTGTTTTTGTACGGTTAAGAATATTATAGCAGACATTTGTCTCCAAATTTCTGCCTCATGAATTCCAAGAAATAGCCACTTTTATGTGCTCGAGACATTTTCAAGTCCTTGAGAGACGCCGCAATACTTCGACTACTGTCGCCTTTAAGACTGTTCCTTGCATGTTCCAAGTTACCCAATGATAACCGCATCTTAAAATGAACTTATTCATCTTATGTGTATCAACCAAATAATACTTAATGAGGTATGTCTAACATGACAGTGATCAGAAGTATATTTGTTTCCTCAGCAAGGTGTACAATCGTTTCCTTCGGCCTTCCTTTAAAGTCGGTTGATGACTCCATCTAAAAGTATGCTACTGTCAGCTTGTAAATAACGATCAAGGGAATCTCCAGTCTGAAGATGAATCTCATAAGCCTTCAGCCAAGCCCTTCCTTTCATAATTATGTCAAATAACGTTTTATCACCTTTCCACGAGCGAGGAAGGAAGTGGCAGATTTGTGTGTAACCATCTTTGCTCGATAACGTGTGATCTGTGCCACTCATACTATTCAAGAAAGTGCCATTTTTCCTTCTAAGCAAACCACTAGATGAACGAACGACCAAGGCAGGACACGAGTTAGGAAAATCGGCTGGGAGATATATTCTGAGAGTGTATTTGCTGTCGCTGCTACAAGTTACATCAATTTCGAGTTTTGTATCATCATTGGGGTCAATCCATTCTATTTCGTCGGGGTGGAAATATGTTTTGATAATGCTGTTTTCAAATGCCAGCCTCTTTCGTTGAGTAAGTGACCATCCCATAGGTTATTGACTTTTCCGAAAGAAGAATGTTCAGCTTCATAAACTTTGCAGCGATTTTTTCTTTTTGCAAAATTAAATACAATGGTTTTTCAAACGCATGCGCAGATACTCTAGTGCGATGCAGGTTAGGGCAAGTTCCAACAACTGCCTCGTAACTTTGAAATACCAGAAAAGCATTGGAACATAATTTCTGAGAAGTAAAGGCTTTAAACCATACAATGACAGCCTCCTTTCATCTGCAGCAGTGTAAACAATGGCCGTGTGAATTAGAAAGAACGCTGTTTTAGACGGCTTGCCATTCGTTTGGTTGTTGTGTTCGCAGGCTAGCATGAACAACCTAAGCGGTTGAAAAAGGACCTGAGAATTATTATATCTTTTATTTTGGTCTTTGTTGTGGGGTATAAGATACAGCAAGAGAGAATGTGCGAGTGAGCAATGTACAAACCGACTGTGAGCAAATATCTCCCGGAAAATTGGGCTAAATGCTGCGCAGCTCATGAACAACATGAATTAATTGCAACGTTTTTGTACTCTGGGGGCATAGATGATGAGTTGGGTCAAAGAGCCTCTAAGGTTTTTTTAACGTAACTTTAATGGAACGGTTAGACGTCGTTCATTTTGTAATACAGAGTGTACTGACGGTTAGACGTCGTTCATTTTGTAATACAGGGTGTACTAAAATTATATGGCTGATGGGTACCCATGTCATGTTAGATAACCCGCGTAGCAAGACATTAACCGTGCGACAAGATCGAGTCTAAATCTATAGCTTGTCCTTCACAAGATGTCACATTATTGCTTAATTTTTGTGAGAACACAGTCATGTCTTTCCCGATGCACGTTTGTTTATACTTTATTAACGAAATTTTTGAGAATTTGCTTACTTGTCTTTTAAAATGAACATCAGAGATTCAGCCTTTAAAGAATAAAATAAAACAAAACAAAACAAAAATAAAGCATTTCCCACATATGCTGGGGCGACACCATGCTCAAACTACTGTTTTCAATAAATAAAGCCAAAGTAATAAAAATCCAATTTAGCTTTCCTAGTGCAAAATAAACGCAACACCACCAGATACTACGCTATCTTAGCCAGTTTTAAAATTTTACATACACAGGATAAAACTTTGATATCCTCAAATTTTGATCAAGCTAAGACGGTTGTTTCTTAATCCAGACTACTGATAAAGTCACTTAGCGTCGCGATGGAAATACGTCCATCCAGAAAATAGGCCTCTTGTACAAATGACTTTCTCTACCCATTCATCTCGCTTAAGTATTTGCTCAATGGTTGCCCAGTGCGAAGATGAGATTGGTACGCTTCTAGCCATATCAAACCCTTCATGAACACTTGATACAAAGTGTTGTTAGCTCGCCACAAATTTGGCCTGAAATGACAAATCCCAGAGTAGCCATCTATGTTGTAGCCTGTGTGGTTATCGCCCGGGTATTGGTGTAAATACACTCCGTTATAGGCTCGTAGCATTGCCGATTTCACGACCATGTTGGGACAAGAATTGGGGAAATCTTCTGGTATGTAGACTCGCAGGGTGTACTGTCTGTCGTTGGAGCAAGTAACTTGGACTTCAACCTTGGTTCCGCTTCCCGGATCAATCCATTTTACCCTGTTCGGGAAATACTTATCCAGCAACTCTTTCTCCAATCCAAGCCTTTTTTGTTGTGACGCTGACCAGGGCATCCTGTTGGCAAGTTTCACCACGCAACGACAACTACTGTTACTTAAAGAAAACGATGTTGTTTCAAACTTGTTTTCGTGTATGCCAAGCCGGAAGTCTTTCGCGGAATTGCCACTGCGGTGAACACATGCGCAATTGGTTTTATTTTTTTTTTGTTTTGTAAATAAATAAGCGTCAATAATATTTTCATGGAAAAGCATGGTGTGGTAAAGAAATACGAGGTTAATCGCGGTTACAAAGACAAAAAAATGCCCTGAGTGTAGTTGTATTTTACCATATTGTACATGTAGGTCATAAATATAAAGCTTACAGTATTTGTTAATATATAAATATATAAAATTATAAAACGGATCGCAAGAATAAATTATTATAAGTAAAAAGTTTTATTCTCCTTAAACCCTGTATAAAAGTATGAAATTTAAGACAACGAAATTTGCCCTGCATACTTTAATACGACGAACATCCGTCCCGTTTATCAGTTACTCCTTAAATTTCAAAGCATTTTTAATGTGATTCTCGGAAAAACCGGTAGAAATACTTTGCACGCGTGAGCCACTCAAATCAAGCGTATGAATTTTCTTAGAAATGTTTACGTTTAATGCTGTTGAAAAGTGAAATTCATCGTGTATTGCAGAAGACACATATCTCTAACACTAAAGCTAGACTACTTTTGCGTTTATTTAGCAGTCTGTTGAATTGCGGTGATCACAAAGATGAGCGTTACGGTCACAATCCACAAAGGCGAACTAGCGCAAATCAAACGTCTCATAGGTGAGGAAAATGTAAAGAAAGGACAGCTTTATGGCTTGTGGACCCATTCATTTCAGCCAGTTATTCAGTATGTTATCGGTGAACCAAAGCATGGAGATGGGACGAAAATTGAGGAATGCCTTCAAGAACAACATTTCTTACAGCACGTGGGAAACTGGAGCACTGTTGGTGATGGTAAGTAAAAATTAAACGCCTACAAAGTATAATGGCAACTAGAAAAAATTGAACTTGCCCACTTCCGCTTTTCGAGACTAAGCCGTTTGTTTTTTTACTTAATGATGGAGTTTGCGTTGTTTTTGCGTTTAATAGTCTTCTGTAAAATGGCGTGTGAAGGAGCCTAAAAACTCATTTTTTTAGTGCAAGCGTTGTTTCATGGTAGGCTTTTCATTTTCCATAACTTATGATGCAGAGATATAGATAAACTAGTTCAACATGGCACAACCGATGACTTTTTGACAAAATAATGCTTTCACAGTCCAGTATATTCCATTTTATAATTTTCATTAAAAGAAAAAGATCTATGGTAACCGCCGTCTAGATTAAACTGTTTTAAACGGTCTTCCTCTAATTGGCAACAAAATTGTTTTCGGAGAACAAAACAATCACCACCCGACCACTCCCTCCTCCCCTCCAGTCAAAGCTGGGGTGTTTGTTGTTTCCTACGGGTAGCCGGCTTAAACAGCAGCAAAACATTGCATTAAGGGGGTGGGGGAGGGAGCTTTATTTTCCCCTTTAGAGCAATGGATCTCAACCAACTTTGTCGCCGATTGTCTGTCTAGTAGACTCGCTTTTCTGCAAATTCATTTCCCGTTCAAAAGCCCAATGTAGGGTCGTTGGGGGAAGCGCGATGGTGTGTGACGATGTTTTCACACAACCCTGCAGCTTTCTTTTAATGCAATGCTTTACAATGGCGTCGGGAATCCGAACTTCAGGTTACAGAGAGGGATTGTAAGAAGCTTGTTATGGAGCAAACTATCCGCACTACAGTTTAAGATAGAGGAACCCATTACATAAATAGCCCATTAAAGAAGAGGTTGAATTTAGTACTGTTACGATCAAAAATTGCTTTTTCAGCATGCATACTTCCATAAAATAAGCACAAGGACGTTTTAGCATCTTAACAAGGTCATCCTCAGGGAAGTATTTGTTTACAAGGCAACGGTACCAAACAAACACCTCTGTCAGTTTATATGGTCTTACTTGTCTTCAATGTTACTTTATAGGTGTTAACCTCTCCAGTAAGAAAGCAGGCAAAGCGCCACCTTCTTTCCTAAAAATGACCGTCGAAGTGGTAGACAACGAAACCATAAAAGTGAAGCCGTGTGTTTTCCAGGAAAACTCCAATTACGAGAAGGGATTGGACGGACTGCTTGGTATTTTTAAGTTCTTCTTATTCACTTATTTTCAATATTTATTTATTTATTTATTTATTTATTAACCTGATCGTCAAAAATAATTGCACGCACAAGAAAATATCTTGTACATAAAACTTTTGAAAAGTTATCTGGACAAAAAATAGAAAACTAGTTTTGGTATGGCCTTGCGGCAAATCTAAATGATTTCCAAAATGTTAGCATAAGCCTATAACATGCTAGCAAGTGGACGAAGCTCGTCGGAAAGGATAAGGCAACGGCTGAATAATTCAAATGGAACTCCTTTCGCTAGCAAATGTAAAGTCAATAACACCTTTAAAATGTCCAGGGTTGGTTGCGTTTAAACGTTTAAATTCATATCTTAGAGACTGGATTGAAAAGCAACATACCCTCACTGAAAGGGGCGTGATCTTGGAACCTAAAATGGCGTAAAATCACAAACCTTTTTGGATAGAAGATCAAAACTGCTATTTTAAGTAAGCTGTCTAGAACAGGTTCCTTATACATTATGACTTCTCTTTTTGCAGAAGAGCTAGAAGGAGACAGTGCTTTTCGCCTAATCAAGACCGGTCCATTTGGAAACTGCGAAACTGCGAACACCCTTAGTGAGCGCTACCACCATGAAAAAGTGAAAGATGCTAATAATTTGAAGGTGATTAAGCAAACTCCAAAAGCTGCAAACGAAGCTGAGACTAAAGACACCCAATGGTATTCGACTGAAGATGGAATGAAGCTGTTCGGATTGATTCATGGTGTTTTTCAAAAACAATTTGAAATCACAGGAACGAGCAGAGACACGAAGACACATGACATATCCATCACCTTGAAACGTGGTGGACAAGAGTTCATCATTGATTTCCCTTCCAATTTTCCCAACGGCAGGGCTGTTCTTAATTATCGTGCGAAGAAGCGAGAGATAAGCTTAAGTGAAAAAGCAACAGAAGGAAATGTTAAATCCAGAAAGGGAAGTCAAAAGCAAGACAAGAAAGCAAAGCAAAACACGAACAAGAAGGAAGGAGGGCAAGGAAGAACAAGCAAGAAAGGTGCCGTGGTACCCGACAAAGAGGCAACAGCAGAGGAGGCACCAAACGAGAACGAGAACGATAACGCATCAGCTGGCAAGCCGGAAGGTGCAGTGCAAGAGGAAGCAGAGCCACCGAAGCAGCCCAGCCTGGAAGAGATACCAGAGTTGTTAGTAAAGGGTATCCGTCAAATCCTGCATAGTACAAATTAATCTCCCGTTTTACTCTACTGGTATAGCTTGCAAGAAATTAACCCACATTAGTATTTACCAAATCAGTGAATAGCAGTTTTCGCCCGCGGGTTTTCATTGGCTATCGTAACTTGGAATATCCTTGGTTGTATTGCGACCGACGCCAAGATGGCGTCTCGTTTCGAGGAATTTTCGGAGGATGAAATTTGAGCGATAAATGAAGGAGTTGTACAAACGAATACCAAGAAAGCGACGAATTTCAGCTTGTCGGTGTTTACTGGTAGGTGGAAAATTATTTTCTTGCTGAATTTGCAGGAAAATTGTAAAAACGCACTTGACAAAATCGTAAATTGTAAATGAACTTTCTGCGGGAGTAAGTGATGTTTTTAATTTACTAAAAAGTTACTTTTTCTCATGTTTATTTAACTGATTTGGTAAAAACTAAAATAAAAAAAACTATTCCCCTCAGAATCAGTGAACAGCGCTAGATACATACCTCCACGCTTCGCGTCTCGGTATCTGTCCTCACCACTATTCACATCCCCTTCGGTGGATAGTTGTATATTAAACGTCCCAATAGTGGCCATGCACCATTGGCTTCTTACAGAAATACTAAGGTACTATACACCTTTTTTGAGGATTAGTATTATTAATGTTTTAAACATTGAAAGCATATTCCCATGGGTCCTTAAATAAAATTAAACAGTTTGACGAAGTCATAAGTTGATAGCGGCTCCTTGATTCACTTTTCAACCATAGGTCTTCCGAATCAGAAACTGTTATAGTCTGCCTTAATTTAACGCATAAAGCAGTACTAAAAGAAGCGAAATGTTCAATTAAATGTATTTTAAATCTCTAGTCTATTTTTTTTACATTAAAGTGAAAATCTAAGTGGAACAACTATGGTAGCTAATAATTAAAACTAGCCAAAATGCTCCACAGGAGCTGATTAAGCGCTGGAGTGTGACAAAAAGATCGGAATTCACAAAATTTATGTATTCGTGACAATAAATGTTAAAAAAAAATACATCTCGCGAGCCTCTTTTGCCGTTAAGTCCACAGCCACTGGTTCGAAGCGTGTTTTCCTAGAGCCATAATGGTGTGAGGGATTGGGGTATGGGTGGGAGTGCGTGTTAGTAACTAGACAATTCGCCATTTCCAGATTTCCACTTTGTTTGCGTGTTTCTTGCCCCCCAGCACACGCAGGCAGTTTTGCATACGTATTGTTTCCATTTCTCCCCGCACAATTGAAATTCCGAAGAGAAGATAAGACAATGCGCATGCAGAACTGTTTGCGAGTGTTGGGGGGCAAGAAACACGCAAACAAAGTGCATTATGGGAAATGTGGAAATGGGGAGTGCAGGGTTTAGTTTGTAGGTACTTCTGAGGTGCCCACCCAACCAACCCTTTCCCGATATCCTTCCTGGCCTGTGCTTCAGATCCACCTCATTGTTCATACCCAGAACAATTCTTAATCAGTGATCCGTGGAACAATGGCCAGTTTTTAGTGGATACACTTCCATTCTAAATGATGTATTTCACAGTATAGTTCATGCACTGTAGTGCTAACCCAACCAACCCTCTCCCGATATCCTTCCTGGCCTGTGCTTCAGATCCACCTCATTGTTTATACACAGAACAATTCTTAATCAGTGATCCGTGGAACAATTTCCAGTTTTTAGTGGATAAACTTCCATTCTAAATGATGTATTTCACAGTATATAGTTCATGTACTGTAGCGCTATATTCATATAGTCGATGAGATCAATGCAATCTTTAAGCGTTCATTGGATTTATATGTACATTTAGATGCCACAAAAACCTCATCCAATGATTATTTATTGACTTTATTACTAGAGATGATTTATCTGTGTAGGGTTAAATCTTACAAAGTGTGTTAAACATTCAGTTAAGTCACTGAGGATGTTACCAAAAATGGCAATGCAAGCTCGCAACTCCTTCTGGAGCCTTGATCACGTTAATGATGAATAATTAAATGATTATGTGAACGAAAAATGTTGTAGTCATTCATCGTGACAGATACGAAAACAACAAATTTATTGTTTGCCTCACGATGTAGTCACTTGGTATACCTATAATAACGATCACGACATGCGATCAGGGGCTTTGAGTCAACGTGAATTCAGAGAATTGTAGATGGGGCACCGGTTGTCTCGGCTCCTGTCTAGGCAAGTTTATTCGAATGTACATCGCCCTTTTGATTACTGGGTCTAATCTCCAAGTCCTTTGTTGTAACGTAATGTCCCGGACATAATATCATCTCTTTTTTGATGATATTTAACATGGCTCTTTAATGATATTAAAGGCTGATGATAGTGACTTTCAAACACTAACACATGTAATTACAAGAAATCCCAAAGATGTAATGAGAATTGTGCACCAGATCAGTAATTATTCTTGCCAGAGCTAGTCCCAATCCTAATTTTTATAATCTCAAACTCACCGGTGGGTGTCCCTGTCCTAGAAATATCTAAGGGTTCTGAGTATAAAACGGGTTTTGAAAACCTCTCACGTTTCGCCCCGTGCAAGGAAATCCAAAATCCGGAATCCGTGAAAGTTTTGCTTGTGGAATCCGGAATCCGAACAAATTTGTACTTGTACAATCTGGAATCCTGGGCATTGGAATCCGGAATACAAGTTCAGATGACAACAAATCCGGAATCAAGTACCTGAAAACCGGAATCCATGGCATAGAACTCCAGAAACCTAGACTATCTTGGATTCCCTCGCATGGAAGACGCTTGATTAAACCCAAAAAGGTAGCCCTTTCAACCGATTGAAAAGTAGCCAAAGTTAGGTACACATGTGTGTAACTTCGTTAAGTATACCCTATTTACTTGCCTCTCAGTATTTAGTTGCTGCAGCTTGTAAATAGATTCTTGTTACATTGACGTCTACCGTTTACGCTCTTTGAGCTTCGATGCGAGGCCATTTTGTCTTTCCACAAGTTATAAGCACAACTGTTAAATATAGAAATATGTTGTAGTGGAGGAAGGCTGAATTATTGTTAATTTCCCATTTGTTTTGACATTTGGTGATATTTTGGCTTTTTACGAGATCAAAGGCGATGAAATATGGCGCGTGGATAGCCATGGCGACAATCCAAGTGGATGCAGTTAAAAGGCGGCGTGTTCTTACGGTGATGAGGAGAGCCTTAAACGGGAACAAGAACGCAAGAAAACGTTCGACTGCAATGATCACCAGGCTCTGGCTTGACACTGAAATCGATGTGTCGCTCAAGAACGTACACATCTTACATAAAATTGTTCCTTCTAATCCCTGTACCTTCCAAGCAAGAGATGCTGTAACTGCCAATGTAATAAAGCGGGCAAGTAAAAAGATCGCTGTCAAAAGATCGGAGGTAGCCATGTTGGTGATAAGGAGCATAAGTGGTTTTTTCATCTGCGTTAAAGCTGCGACACTAGGAAACTGTTTCCTACCAGGGCCACCAGAAGAGCAAGGACGTTTATAAAAATCAATATCTCCGTTGAAAACTCAAAGGAGCAGTTACTGTTTCCAGTTTCGTCCTGGTGAGAAGAGGAGTTTGCAGTTTGCCACATTGTCAGAGTGGACCAATTTCTGTCAAGCGATTAGCGTATATAGCAATCTCGACCCCAGAGATTGCGTATTTAGTTGAGTGGTTGAGTGGTTGAGTGCTTCGTACCCTAACAGTTGTAGTTCGATTGAATATAGGGTCTGCCGGATTATGCTCGAAAAATAGAGTATTATGCTTTCGGGCATCACCCGTGAAACTAGGGTATTATGCTCAAAATTATGCTCGACTGGGGGTATTATGCTCAAATTATGCCGGACTAAAATGACACTTCCACCCCAGCCCCCCATAGGCCTGTATCTATTAATAAACATTCCTAGTCTTTCATTTTTGAAAGAATTGTTAGACAGTAATTATTCAGTTAAACATTTGATGAGGAAGCGAAAGGTCGGAAAATTGTGAGGCATTGAAAGGCTTACTATATGTCTTTCTCCAATGAACTTGGATTATAGCGGAGCGAAGAGCGCGCGTAGGCGGAGCCCCATAGCTAAGGAAATGTGGTAATCTACCCATCCCAGAAAATTTGGTAATCACGTGACCGTACACCGATCGAGCGAGCGACCGTCCGTCCGCACCACAAGCATACTAATGTGAAATAACTCAATCAACAGGTATGGGAACCCAAATGCAACTCAAGGTTTTATTTGGAATGAAATCACATGGCCGCGCGAACTTTTAGAAAGAAAAAAGTCGTGTCTTTTTCGGCGATATTTTTTACGTGTACACTAACGTGGATAACAGAGAAAGAGCTAGAGCGAGTTATTGAAAATTCGTAGGAAGAAAAACATGGAAATTCAAAGCGGCGGTGAGAAAATGAGAAATGCTAGCGGCGAGCAAGATGAAATGAGCGGCAGTGAAAAATAAAAGCGAACATGAACACTGGAAACAAAAAATTGGGTAAAAACATACGACAATTTCTCCATAAAAATAGTGTGTAACTAGGAAGTTCGACGTTTTAGTCGTACAAAACAGCGTTGTAGTCGTGCAAAACAAGGGCAAGGGAAAGACAAAAAAGAGTGCTGCACGTGCAAAATTGTTTGTTGATAATTAGAAGAAAAAGTGTGCTGCACGTGCAATTTGTTTTTCTGCTAATTAGATTTATTAGTCTTGAAGCCATTTTCATTGTCGTCCCCCGTTTAGCATTACACGATTTAATTTTTTTTGTTTACACGTATTATTAACCAGAGCTTCGCTTTTAGCCCTGGCTAAATCTATTTAGTATGTACTAAAACAGTAGATAGTGTTTTTCGGGCGCTCTGATTGGCTACTCAATCAGTGAATATCCTGCACTATTCACTGATTCACCTCCAGTTCCTCCGAGCCAGCGACGCCAAACTCGCGTAGGTTGCGAGCAAAATGCTTTCCCGGTTTGCTGCCGTAACAAACTAAGAAATTTCAGAACTAATCAAGCAAGCTATTTCCGGAAATACATGAAGAAGGTGACGAA